GAGGTGAGATGCCAGTCCAGAGTCGGCCATGGGTACTAGTGGATTACTGGGTGTCCTTTGTTTTTCATGGAGATTCTCTGGCTGCAAGAGTAGGCAATACCACCCAGGTGCCATACAAAGGAGCACACTTCTTCCAGGCTATGTGGATGCAATGCAGAGAGGATCTGCAATCAATGCTTTTGTTCCCCCTTTGCTGGAATGGGAGCGACAAAGCAAAGAAATTATTCCCTCCTTTTAAATAAACCCACTGAGAAGTACCTCTTTCTTGGTTCTGATATTTGCCAGAATAAGGGACACCTTGAATGAAATCTGATCTCAGAAGTGGAAATAATTTGCAACATTCAAAAGGCCTGTGTGCAACATAGTAAATATTTTGGTTTCCTTAAAGTCTGTAAAGTTAGAACAGTGAGAGATCTTAGAGAAAAGCAGCTACCATTGCATCACTCCTTTACTGCCTTGAAAGCAAATGAACATAAATAAATGCTCCAGCAAGAACAGATGTTTTGATCTACATATCTTTTTTTTTTATTGCAAAACAATTGTTACAGAAATTTCAGAAAGTTCTACTGTAGTAATTGCCAACTTCTGCTTTTTATTACGCATCTAAACACAGTCTAAAAGTGCATTGTGAATCCAGTAGACCTTTGGAAAGGACCATTTTCCCTAGTTATGTACATTTAGACAAATCATACTTGAAAAGCTTTGTATTAGTAGGAATTTGTTTAAAATAACATTTTAGTAATTTTTATCCCTTTATAAATGATTGTTATACACTTACAAATGATAGCCCAAATAATAAATGATTAAATAGCTATTAGTATAGAATATTGCAAACACTGTTCCAGACAGCAGTAGCAGCAAATAGACTCTCGTTATGTACAACAACTGCAGTGGTGGAAAAAAGATATAACTTTAATACAATTTACTCTTGTGCAGGCATAAAACTGTATTTCACATCCAGTTCCCTCTTCTTTCCCTTCCCCCTCCCTCCTAGATATTAAAATAAACAAGAGTTATTCTTCCTTGCAGCAGAAACAGCAGCAATTTAATAATCCAATGTTTTTACCTAACAGCCTTTTGGAGTAAGTATTGTGTGGCTCTATGAATGATCTGAAAGCATACAGCAAAAATTAAAAGGTCAGAGACTGTTTCACAACCAGAATGGCTCAATGGCTCCATCATTAGACCTCCAACTTGAAGATGATATAGTGGAATCCATGCCATAACTCAAAGTAATATTGAGTTAGAAATGCAGAATAAATCCATCTCCTGACAGAAGTCAGAGTATGCCACTGAAATCAGTGGATTTTCTGCAGATTTGCACCAGCATTAGTAAGACCGTAATTGTAGTCAATCATGGAGACGAGAAGCCTGTGTGACCTGTAGAGTTCTGTTTGAAATGTACGACTGGCTAAAAAGCAGGGTGCAGAAACAAAGTCCCTCTGCATCCAATACTACTGCGCTTATGCCAACGTGTGGCAAGGACAGTAATTCCATCTACAGTACTGAAGGGTTTCACTAGGTAAGCAGACACCCCCAATGCTTCACTTCTCGTCCCAGTTTGGACTGTAATTTTATCTAAGGTGGTTGAAGGGAAAATTCAGGCTTGGAATCTTACCCATTTGTTTTGAAGAAGATGGTCTATACCTAGCATCTCTTGATAGAACTGAAAATGTGGCCTTTGTTGAACCAAATATGCATATCTGTGCAAAAAATGCAAATAAATTGTCACTTTTAAGCAGGGGAAGACATCACAACTACCTAAGTGTTTCAAAGGAAATCCAGGAAAAACCCTCTCACACTTTCCCTTTGGATGATTATCAGATCCACTTCACTGTTTAACCTGAGCAATGTAATAAGACATGTATGCTTGTTTTGAAAACCTGCACCCCGAGTTTACAGGGAATTTTGTTTCACTGGCTCACTCTAATACCTCTGATGATGTCTGCTCTCAGGACAGGTACTGGCTTATGCCCACTGCAGTCATTGGACTAAGGCTGTGTGCTGCTACCAGCACTTTTTTTTGAGCAGTTATTCACATAGTTGCATTTTCCATGCACTGACAGTTTCTAAGAAACAAATCGTTTTCTTCTCATACAAAAAATATACCTAACTAAGATATTTATCCCCTGACAAAAGGCTATCCTTTCCGCAAAAGGTACAAATCGGTTTCGTTGGTTTTTTTTACGAAAAAATCTATAAATGGAAAATTAAAAAAAAAAAAAAAGTAATCTATGTCTGGAACCCAGAGGGATTTCCTTATGTAGATGAATGGATGTTTTGGTTTTTCATTATATTTTCAAATTATCCCCTCACTGCCATTTGCTAACTGGCACTTGTGCTAAGAAAATAGTGTAGCACCTGATCTCTTCCAAAAAAAAGAGAGAGCCAAATGTCTGAGCACTGCTGTAGGTTCGCATTTTGTGTTGAGTATTCAAATTTCATAAAATACAGTTGTCTTTTAAAAATAATAAAAAAATCACTTTGCTAAAGATCAAAAATAATGGAAATAATGTAAACATCCAAAAGTTTTAATTCATTCCTAACTGGATTCATCTTTACAGGCAGGCAATAGCAAAATGTTAAGTCTCCTAGCAGTCCAAAGAAACTCATGGAACAATGCATGCATTTTCTTTGACACAAAAAAAGACTGGACTTTAAGGAAGAGAAACTACTTCAGTCATATCACACTGTTATTGTGAAAGAATAATGTGCTATAACACAATACCTAGGACAAGTGTATACCCCAACTGTAGAATAGAATCACTTAAACTGGAAACAACAGAATGGATTACTATAGGAAAATATTTATAAAATACTGCACACTGCTTCCTCAGTCAACCAGCATATGTAAACAAACAGCTAAGTTCAGTTGAGTTTTAAAATATTATTAAAGTTCATATATCTTATAATCTTTTGCATAACATGCCAGTTTGTCTTTCACACCATCACAACTCATCTGTCACAGCCCACAGTGGCTCGTTAGAGGTTTATACATCAGCCCATACAGACATTAAAGTGGAGCTATACAAAGAAATGTGCGAAACATACCAAACTTACACACCGTGACCAGAAATGCATATTCCATACGTAAGCTAATAACTGGATAGTGGAACTTAATGTTTGATGCAACATGTGCTATTTTATTGAATGTTACAGATTTACAAACAAGACCATGTAATGAGATATTAAAACTGTCCTGTAACGTTCACTAATATTACCACATGTCACAACTACATATGTGTCTATTTCATAAGCTATCCTTTGATACAGAATACATTATATGGCACATGCTATAGCTACATGATGATGGATGATGAGACTTCTATCTCACTAAATATGGGAGAGAGAATGGGAAGTCTGGTCCCATTGCAAGAAATGGGAATGTTTTATCATCAAATTCAAAAAGGAGCCGTTTGATGCAATGTGTAAAAACCAGGTGAAAATAAAATAATCTAACATCCATCATAATATATTCTATAGACATCACATTGTAGAATAAATGGGAAACATTCAGGAAAAGTAGTGTTCTGACCTCTTGCAATCACACTTTTAACATCTGAATTTACATTTTATATATAATGGCAGATTTTAAGAGGTAAATAAAGTGTTCTGTTTCATTTTGCCTGGAATGTGTGCTCCAGATCGATAAGGTGCTGTATCCTAAATATTTATACAGCTTCTAGGCTTGGCAAATTTCTTTACCCTGACAAACTAACCAATGGAATCTACCCCAGAGGAGAGCCCTATCTCTAATTCACTAAGCGCTGTTGAGGAATTTCTAATGAATCTGAAATTCCTCTTGAGTAGACCAGTAATACAATGGAGATGAAAGAGTCCACAACAGTTTTAGCAGACATTCATAAAAGTAACAAAGAAAACGAAGTAAGAATATCCCCCTCTACTCTCCATAGATAGATAGATTTGGAGAAGCCTTAGGAAAAGGCTGCTAACAGAAGGTTGGCACATTTGAAGCATATTGTTAAACACAAGTTCCTTTGCCCGTGGGCATTTTGCTATTGTTCAACAATCAGCCTGCCACAAGCATGCTTCATAATGCACAGAAAGGTTTCTGACCTTTCTTGGTATCACCATGTGACTGTAATGCTGCACATGGCCTGCAAGGCAATTGCATAAACACGGTGTCTTGGTGGAGTGTAGTTCACTGAAAGCCTGATCAAACAGAAGAAAGCAAGGAACACGTTGGTGCAGGAAGTGTGAAACACATTGTTCTTAACATCCCCTTGCTGCATTTCCTTGTTTCCTGTCCTGTCCTTCCAACGCAGTGACTTGTTAACTAAATGTTTTCACCTCCTTTGCCTCTTTTCTTGAGGCTGATGATTATTTTTCTGTCTGGATTAGTCGTCTTTTGGACTTAACTCTCAGATGGTGCTCAGAGTCTCCCAGAGTGAGGACTCAGTGAGAAAATATCAGCTTGTATTCTCAAAGCTGCCTAATTCAATTTAAATAATGTGAAATATGTACCCCACTCACAAATGTCAATTTTTAATAACAAAAAGGAGCTGGTTCCACACAGATATTGGTAACTGTTGAGATATTTTAACTTCTGATAGCACTAGTGTCAACTTTTAAAAAGTTTAAAAGTTGTTCCGCCATAAAGGAATGTGAATTGTTTTTCCAGTTGCAGCTTATGCTTCTCCACCCTTCTCCAGTCTTCTGTTTTCCCTTCCTCCTGGGACCACTGGACACTGCCTCATGAGAAGTTTGACACTCTTGCTGACAATGTGGGCCCTCGGGACGTGGGTGGAGTCAGTGGAGTTACACTTGTCTTCACCCAAAGCCCGCACCTGCGCTACCCCTCAGACACGCTTTCCCAGCACCAGCGCTCCCTGTGTGCTGTGCTGATGAGCACACTGTGATGATGAACACTGCTGGGCTGCGGATGCCTACTCACAACTGATGGCTTTTGCTCTTTACACACACTTGCAGTTTCACTTTGGTTCTTTTACTTACCTTAGAAGCATATAGAAATTCTAGTGTTTTCCAGTCCTCTGCCAAAAATACTTTGCTTTAAGCAGCTTCAGTCTAAATACACGAATCTGGATTCAGACTTCTTGATAAATCCTGTATAATTTAAAAAGTCCAAATACAGCTATGTTCACATGAAAAAAAAGGGGAAAAAGGTGTGAATTTTATAGGTGGGAGAATGATGTGAAGAATCGGCAGCTCAAATGAAACAGCAAGAAGAACCTGGTAGCAGCATGGTGGATAAATCTCCCAATTTATATATATAATTAAACTGAGCCATGAGAACTGGACACTATTACTGTGCTCTGCTCTGATCGTCTTGTACTTACTGTTTCATTATATCCTTTGATTTAGCGAGACAACATACTGATGGCAAATGTGGTAAAAAAATAAATATATACTACTCCACTTAATTACATTCATCCTGAGCTTGCTCACCTGTGCTAGAATCTAGAATGCCTGTTTTACACAGGAAATCACCTGACATTTTAACACAAATTCTTCTTCCATTTAAGTTGCAGTAAAGAAGGCATTTCATTTCCCTTTCCACTCTTGAAAATATAAACTTTCTGTGGCACTAGAAGTTGATACAAAAGGAGACAAGTGAACATTTATAGTTGTTGTTGTGTTCATCTTTCTTCATTTCCACAAATATGGGATGCAAGGGACTTGGGAGACTTTAGGGTTTTTTGCTGCCAGTTCCTACAGAAATAACAAATGCTTTTCACCAGTCATCACAATAGTGACATAGATGAAAAAGAAGTTGTGATTGAAGTTTGGAACACCTAATTTGTACATCTTTTTTTTGCCAGTTAATTCCTGCATCTTAAAAACTTGAATAATGATAAAAGGTCTTAGGATACCCTCTAATAAAAGGCAGATATCTGGAGCTATTAATCTGTCTTCTGACTTCATTAAGGGGTCTTGTTATTCCTCTTGTTTACTGAAGGTTTTGTAAAGCTTTCATCCCTCCCTTTTTTCTTAAGTGCAAATGTCAATTGGGTCAAGATGGAGTACAACTGTAGTGATGCTGAGATTAAAAATGTGCTCCCTTGACCCGTGGCTAATGCCAATTGGACTCAACACAGGGTGATGTGAGGGTTTTTAAAAAATTCTGCTAAGAAAAACAGACTGAAAAGCAGATGACCCTTAGACTGCTGGTGAGCTTTGTATAAGCCTAGCTGTGCTTGCTTTCAAAGCTGCAGAAGGCTCCAGTTCTTGACAGTCTCCTCATGGACAGGTTGTCCCCTCTGCTCTCTGGCCTCGAGGACTTGCTCCTCTCCAAGGGGTTCCGTGGGCCGGCTGCGTTTCGCTGCCTGTCAAGTTTGTCACTGATGGAGTAGCTCTTCCGTGTGTGCTGTGCATACAGCACGCTGGACTCTTCTGCAGAGTAGCTGTTGGCTCGCTCTATCTTTGGGAGTGGGATGCTGTTGGGCAGAGTTGTTGTAGCACTGCTGTCTTGAGGAGATAAGGGGATTCCCTTCTTGTCTTTGACCTCGATATCCTCATGATCGGAGCTTGGGTGGGTTAGTTCAGCTTCTCTCTCTGGGTGGCAGCATCCCAAGTCTTCCACTTTGCCCCTGAGGCTTCCAGGGAAACTGGCCCTCTCTGCAATGGCCTGGGGAGCGCTCACACACCTCGTGTCTATGCAATCTGTAATACTTGTGTACTCTGCTGTTTTGACTGGGACACCAAGGCTGCTGAAGTAGCTTCGAGAAGGAGAGAACATGAAGCTGTGAGATTTCACAATTGGTGTTTCCTCCAGAATAAATGGAGTGGTAGCCAGGTAACGACTACTTTTTGATCGCTCTAAAGTATGATACAAGGGAGGGTCTGAATCCCACGGGATTTGGCAGTCTGTGATTTGTGAATAGTCTGAAGAAAATGCTCTTGTTTCTATTCCAGAAGTTTCCTCATAATCAAGACTCCTACCAGAGATCTTTTCACCAGCTGTACTGCTGATGTATGCACTATTAGTTAAAAGGGAAGAGGCTATGTGAGCTGGCAGAGCTGCATCTTCAGGACCAAGAATATTTATGGAGCTCTCGAGAGGTTCTGTGTCAGAATGCATCTCATCCATGGCAGAAACATAGATGTCTATGCAAGACGAAGGTCTTCTGGAGTCTGGGGCGATTGACAAAGTGCTGGTAGGGGGTAAAGGAGCCTTTCCTTCTTTTGCTATTGAGTGGGAACTGATTGCCCGATGCAGGCTTGGAGATCTTTCCTTAAAAATGCTTTCCAGCTTTTCCAACCCACACTTGTCCTTTATATTTGTTGCATAGAAGGAATGGCTTCGCAAGCGGGGTGTGATCGTAGGTGACGTTGGGGACATGGACTCCTCTCCTGTGGGATCAATGCTCTCTTGAAGCTTGTAGGTATTTCCTTCCTGACTGTTGAAGCTGCTCTGCCTCACAATGTAGGCTGCATCAGTACAGTCGGATGAGGTCCTGGATCGGATCTTGGTTGTCTCGCCTCTCTCAATGCCAGCCATCTTTTCCAAGGCAGTCACCATTCGTCCCATCATGTCTTCCAGCTGAGCAAGCCTGATGTCAACAGTCTGCAGAGAGGCCTTCATGCAGTGCTCTCTCTCGTTTACTTCTTCCAGCCGCATGGCCATGTTCTCCACCCTTTAGAAAGGGAAGAATTAAAAAGGTAAATTTCTACAAAGCAGTGGATGTTCAGCTAACCAGGTCAGGTCACCAAACCACTTGGAAAAAAATGCATCTCAAACCCCAAAGGCACTGTACACCACTCACCACCTCATCTGCTTCAAAATCCTGCTAAAAGAGGTTTTTCAAAAAAAAAAAAAAAAAAAAAAAGCTATGCACTCAGGGAACTGATACAGTGGATTAAACCAGGGGCATCATTTATGTAGCGCAGAGGGGCTTGGGTGTTCCTCAGTCCAGGGAGAGGAGACTTATTTAATAAATGTTACTGTGAATTACCGCCTCTTTGCTTCCAAAGCTTCTAATTAGGTTATTATGAATGAATAACACTTAAAGCAGATGCCATATGATGTTGTCCCCAGTTGTGCCACAGTCAGGACCATCACAGGTGGCTTAAATGAAGTAAAGAAAGCAGGAAATGTGCCACAGAAGAGAGGCACTGCTGTATTTTTTCCTTGAGTTAGCCCCAGATTTGCACTACCTAGTCCTATGCCGATCTAAGGAGATAGTTTCTTTGTTCTCGGGTTAATATTTAGCTCCAATTTGTAGAAAAAAAGAAATATCAGCTATTTTGTTGAATATATATAATATTGAGTTAAATATTCCTGAACACTGCAAGGAAGAGAAACACTGATGAAGCCGAATACAGCCTGCAACAGGGTACACGCACTAAGATTGCTCCATTACTGTGGTTGTGCTTTGGGTAGTCTGCATTCATAGCTCAGGGATTGAAATGCCGGATTTTAAAGTTAGTTTTCAGCTGCTATCATAATATAGAAATAAAAAGTTAGATTAAAAGAAATACGTAATAGCTGAATGTAAGATTCAGTATTTTTAATTTAATTTAAATTTTAGTATGTCTTTTCTAGACCATTTATCTGCCACATTTTCAAATATTTTCAATTTTTAGGGAATTGTGTACAGATTTATGCCAGTGGCTTCTAAGCACTTCAATTTTCTGACTTCTAAAGCATGTCTTCTGAAGGATTTATAGAGTCTGAAAATTTTACATTATGAAATTGCCTGTAGCACATGAGAAACTTCTATAATTATTTTCTCTGTTTGTAATCCCTATGACAGGCTGGGACTTCCACTTTGCATTGAAGAAGTACTAAAAGCAACAAGTTTATGTAGTTCTCTGTGTCTGATAGATTATAATTTTGGTTTTTGCCACTGCTGTCGACATTGAAAAATGATCAGAGATGCAAAAGATAACAAATGGCAAAATTTCCACACTCTTTTTCAGCACAGGCCTCTTACTCTCTTCCAGTTAGTGCAATTCATGCTCAAGTATTAATAGTCACACTGCCATAGTTAATAGGCACACAAACAATTCCCAGGATTTCTGATGAGGTAAATATCATGTTCTACTACTGCTAGTTATTTTTTCAACAGGACAAGTGATTTGGAACTGACAACACCATAACCACTCTTATTTGCATAGAGGGGAAGATTATTGCTAAGAATAGAATATTGGCACTAATGCCCTATTACCTAATGCTCAGAACTTTTTCTGGTAAAACACTGAAGTCTGACTACCTTGTGGTGATGAGCAACAGAATCTGCCCACTGAGAGGAGAGGAGAAGAGAGGACAGGGAAGAGTGTGACTCAGCTCCCTACAGCAAGTCTCAAATTCCTGGGAAATACAGGCTTTTCCTGTGAAGTGTGTGAGTTTTGAAGGCACAAGCACAACAAATTAAATGTGCAGCAGCAACTGCATTGCTATCATCAGTCTTCGGGAGACAAATGATCAAGTAATCACTGCTAAGAAATGAACTGGTAGCTTCAAGGAATCTTATTCTACTCATTATCATTTAGGGACTGGTCTGTTTCTAGTTCTGCCAGCTTCTCCAACAAAACAGATTAATGTTATTACAAGTACAGGATGTAATTCCACAGCGAGAGCAGTTTATATGGGAAGCAGTTGAATTTTCACTCATGTTATTACTTATATGAACTGCTATTTTATAAAAGCAATTATACTTTTGAAATATTTATTAGCCAATCATTGAGTCCTTCACCCCACATTCAGATCCTATAAGAACGGCTTCAAGATGATGAACAGGAAAAACTTTGCAATTTTAGGGCTGTCAGACATAAGGAAAAATTCTACTGGATTTCACTAGACAATTACAGCTCAGATTACATGCCACAAAAAACCTTTCACCCCTCCAACAGTTATCAAGAATTGGAGTGAATTTATAACATTATTTAAAGCTAACTGGATAATCTGGTTGTGGTCTTGCTACCTTGTTGTTGTTGTTACTGCTGTTTTTGCCATTGTTTTGGTTTGATTTGTTTTTTTTCTTTCCTGCCTTGACACCTGTACACAAGTGAAATATTTTTAAATACAAACGCAGCCAGTTGGTCTATCAGTGTAACTGCCTACAGTGAGGTAAGTTTTGTGTCTTGCATTCACATGAGGCCTACACAATGCTACTGAACACAACCAGGAGAACCTAGAATAATACCTGTCTGGTAGGTGTTCGTGTATTTGTTCTGCCTTCCCTGAATGCGATCTTGCAGCTTCTGTCAGTGGCACAGAGCGTCAGACAAGACGAAGAGAGACTTTCGAGTTACGTGGTCTCTTGGTTGCTATGGAACTGATGACAAATGTGATTGCATTGGTAGTGTGGAAAATTTATGGAGAAAGGTAACAAGATAAGCACCGAGCAGTCTGGTTTTGGAAACCACGGGTAACCAGAGATGTGCATAGGTAACTGAAAAATGCATACACATGTTTGCACTTCATGAGCCCCAACTACAGAATTTTATTTACAAAAAGAAAGCTTGAAAGATGATGGTCTCCTCCAACCCCCAATGATACTAACTTAGTCACCCTTAGTTATATATATTATATAATATATAGATACATATATATGTATAATATTATACATATATATATATATATACATATATATATATATATATATATATATATACATATACACACATAAATATATAAAATATGGCTACTCCAGAACGTTTAACAAATATTTATTCTATTAATGATATTCTCTTGTGTTGGTAAAAAGAACTTGATGTTCAGTTCTGTAACCATTCATCCTGCAGAACAGCACCATGTTCTGGGAGTGAGCCTATTAGAAACATGATAAAATCACATCAGCCAGACAAGGAGGTTATGGTCTGGAGAGATACACCCCTAATCTGGTCCTTAAAATGTCTTAAATAAGTGATTTTTTTCTATTTTCCCATATTCTTGGGAAAATGTTTCTGCAGTCAGTGAATAAACAGCTTGAATTGTATTTCCTTTAGGAATAGTTTTGAATTAAAACACAGTTTCAAAATGAGATTGCCTGTTTTGCTTTGTTTTTTTTTTTTTTTTTTTTTTCTCCATGGGTATCCAGGAGCAAGGATGAATCTTTTAGCAAATCTCACAGTATCCATTTATGATGTCTCCTTCACACCTGTGCTTATCCTTGCAGCAAGTTTCAATGTATTAGAAAGGGTATTATTCAATATGTTATTCAATGTATTAGAAAGTGCCCAGCCATGCTAACAGAATGAGAAGAAAAAAAGAGGATGCTACATGTAAAACATGTATCAAGGTGAGCTGCTGAAGCTCAAAAATTTCACATAGTGAAACGAACATGGACTTTACCAGGACAATATGCAATAATGAGGGGAGAACTCAGAACCTGACCAAGATTTTATATTATTTGCAGTAAGACTTTTTAATTATGGTTTGGGAGATGATAACTTTTGCTGGCTTTCATTTTGGTTTCTTTATTTTTAACCTTTGCACATTAGTTCATCAATAATTTATTTAAAATAATTCTTTAATGGGACTCAGTCACTCTTTTCAGAGGTAGACCTCCTAATTGAATGGTAGAATTTGGTTCACAAGTCTCTTAGTTGACCTAGGTCCATTTCTAAGACATCAGTCATATTTCAAAATCCTTTTCTAAGACATCATTCATACTTCAAAATCCTTTTCAAAAGCCACAATGACCATTGACATGAAAGTCACTTACAGAGATCCCCCTGAGCTTGTGATAGGCGATTGTGGAATGGTTGTATTTAAGTAAAACACAGACAGCAGCTCCCAAGCCTGTAACAGGGTACTTTGCCTGACATCTTTTGATAAAGCAGTGCTGATGCAAGCAGCCAGCCAGTTTTCCCGGGTGCAGTGGTTTTTCCTGGCTAAGGGAGTTGGGTTGTCATGGCTGCATTCCCACTGGAGCCTAAGACCACTTAACTCTTTATGACCACAGAGAGATGCCACGAGAGTCACGGACCTTTCCTGCTGTCATTTTTCATGTCTGGGTCTGGTAGGGTCAGTCCTTTTTACCAACACAAAGCTATTTCTGTGCACTTCAGCCTGCCAGCTCTGAAATCAAGATAATAGCTATGTCCTCATCCACACAGACGCTGTATTTGTAATTGCACTGCAGATTATAAAGTGCTGTACTAATGGATACCACAGAGTACCAAAGATGACATAATAATATCTGCTCTAACCAGCTTATCTGCTTTTCAAATACTGTTATGATGTGACCCTGCTTCTTTTGAAAGCAACATGATGTTTTGCACAGGTATGAAAGAACTGGGACCTGTTCACATGGAACAAATGTGCTGGGTTACTGAAGTGATTGTTTCAGTGACTTCATGCCAGATCAAGAAAACCAGTGCAGCATTTTTTGATCATATTCCACATGTCTTTCTTCTGGTCAAGATGCAGTACAGTGATTAGAAAGGAAGATTCTCCACAATAGGTCATGATTCTTCCATTGCAATGAAGTGAATTTGTCCAACTTAGCTTTCCTCACAGGTTTTCAGGAGATTCACCATGCACGCTTTGATAAATGCATTCAAGGGAAAAACCTTACAGCCTTGTACTGCTTTATATTTTTCCACTTAGCCCATCACTTCATCTGATATGTATCAGTAACCTGATGCTACTTCCAAATGCTTGTGTGAAATCCCAGATAGTGGGCTTCTGTAGCAGAGCATCTCAGCCCCCACAACTGTTGTTTGCTAGCCAGTCAGATAACTCAAACAGGACAAGCTGTCTTGTATTTCAGGGGGTATAACCTTGAATAATCACTAAGTGATTTTGGTGCCATGGTCACTGGTCTAGCATCTCCCGACTGCCAATAAAAATCTTAGAGATCTGGCAAGACAGACTGCATTTCTGACTGACATCCACTCACTTTACAACTATAAAAGCCACAGAAAACCTTCACAAAGCAGAATTCTTGTATACATTTTCCTGGAAATGTGTGAAGTTTCTCCTGTTAGTAGGAACCTACTTTGTAGTTACTCCCCAGGGGTCAAGTGAAGGTATTTGTGTCCATTGTCATCGCTTTGGTGGTAAGTTGCATTTGACTCCTAATCAATACTCTTTCTTTTGTTAGCTTTAATATAGGTACCTTGATACAGTGCACTGTTTCATGCTGTAATCCACTAGTAGTTATTTTAGTTATATACTGTGGACTAATTCTGATTAAGGTTTTTCATCTGTTATCTACTGTCTGTTTAATAAATAATTCTTTTACATAAATATATCTGATTTGCCATCATTAAACTTGCCAGACAAAGTGATTCCTTAAATTTAAACTGTTGACAAAATCTGAGGTTAAGGAAGGACTGGTCTTGATTTAGACCCCTTTCTGTGAAGGAATTTAAATACACAGTGTAGTTCTTTCTTCCCATGAGAGTCGGAAGGCAGAAGAAGCAGGGCTTCTTTGATAAACTTTGTCTGTAGTTCCCACTCTCCCAGCAACAGCTGCTCCTCTCAGCTGCTTAGTCTGAGGTCAAGGAAAGACAAACATCAAAGTGCTGTTCTATGCTTTTAATTTCTGAATGTGAAGTGATCAGGTAAAGGAGGGATCCTGTCTGGTGACATCAAATATGGAGACTTTGGTGGTATCTGTTGTTACACGAGAAGTAAGGAGATTCCTGAACTGAGGCAGGCCCACAGGATGCCAGGGTGGACTATCCCAAAGTGAGAGCATCAACTAAAGCTTGTTGCAGGTGAGTCAGACAAGACATTGTGGTCCTGCCCCAGCACAGCCCCTGACTGCACAGTTGAAATCATTCATTGACACCCAAGTCAATGCATCAACGCACAAGATCTCTTCTTGCTTTGACTTCCTGAGCCCCTTCATCTGTCTCTGTCTCTCGAACCCATTGAGGCTTGAAGCAAGACTCTGTTCCCATCTTACATTTCCCTTCCAGTGCTAGCCTCCTACTCCTGCTTCCAGGTATGCTGGGCTTTGTATGCAGGGTGTGCAGCTGTTCCTCCTCCTGGCAGGACCTGGAGCTGCTGCTCAAGCAGAGGGGAGCATTATCACACATGCACAGAGGTGAGGGAAGGCAGCGACTGGTCCAGGTGCAGGTGCAGGTGCAGGTGCAGGTGCAGATGCAGGTGCAAGTGCAGATAAGTCACACAGGGCCTGTCCCAACCCTTCCCTTCTTGAGCCTAACAGCATGCTCAGCTTCTTGTAAATGAAAGGTCCTTGGGAAGAACTTCACTCACATTTCCAGGGTTTTCTGGTCCCATTTTACACCACATAAAGCTGACCTAATTGGACAGATGACTAAATTGATATCTCATGGCTCTAACACGGGTCTTATACTTGGTCTACTACTACAGGCTAGTGACTGGGCATTGGAAGAGAAACCATAGTCTTGCATCTTCTCTGCTTTCTTTGCTTGGTATCTTGTTACTTGTGCAATGATAACTCTATAAAGAAACTCTAAAGTGCAAATCTGGATTTTACATATTTGAATGTTCCACAGGTTACAAAAATAATTCTAGTGATGTCATGGTTTAGGAATGGTATTCTCCAATTTAGAAGCCATGATGCCACTTCCCCTCCCCTGCTTCAATTGGAGGCACACAAGGTGAAGTTTGATACAAGAACAACTTACTGGAAACAGCAGTAAAGAAGAGAATAAACAGTAACAACAACTAAACTACAACAAAAGGTGGAAGAAAGAGAAGGAGAAGGAGAAGGAGAAGGAGAAGGAGAAGGAGAAGGAGGATAAATATTTACAGTGAAAATGCCCTGTTCCATCCATCACGTTTTCTCTACCAGAAGGAATCCCTCCTCCTAAGAAGCAAGAGTCCCTTTCCCATGCTCCTGACAATGACATAAGGTGGTATCAAACAACCTCAGGGTCCTCCCACCCCTTCCTGGCTACTGCAAAAGTTTACCTCACCCTGGCTGGAACCAAGACAAGTGGTTTAGATTTAAGAGGACTTGGTCACGACTGCAGGCAAAATAGAAGACCTGGGCATGCTGTTTCTAAAATGTGTTATGTACGATACTCAGATAGCCCTGATTCGTCAAGTATCTTTTAAATATTCCTCAGACCTATTATGTAGTAAGAACTGCATTCACCTGGGATGTCACTGATTGGGCCTGGGAGTGACCTGTGTACCCCACAGGGTCACTGCCTGGATCTCTCTTACAGAGCTGGGGCACCCTGGTCTCCACATTAAACTATTGGCTAAGATAAATGGATTTTTAAAGAGCTATTTCTCTGTGAGGCTCAGGTGTTTGCCTTCACTTAGGATTCATATTCAGGAGCTTGATTCTGGAACAAGGTGCTTTAAGCTTTTCATTTAAATTAGAGATAAGGGCTCTTTTCCTACAAAATAGGGTCAGCACAGAATGGAAAGGCAGCCTGTAATGTTTTCATTTTCAAGGACTTACAGCACTTGCATGATGTAGGAGAGGACCTAGCTACATTACTTCTTATTTACAGCTCTTCAAAGATACCTCTTTCTTCCTTGGCCACCAAATGAAAAGCTATACTCAGAGATTTGAACCTGCATCTGTGACTTTTCAGTTCAGTTCTGTGGCCACCAGACCACAAGAAAAAAAAGGTACTCAGTTGGACCACAGACCAGTTTATCTACTATCTTACTTTGAAGTATATGTAGTTCTTTCGCCTGTATATTCTTCAGTCTTTCATATTTTTTGCTCAGGAACTTTATGTGCTCAACATGATCTCTATGTATTTAGCAGTCCTTACTGGATTTCTCTTTCATAAGCTTGTCTAGTCTTGTTTGAATGCATGTAGCATTTTAGCTGACATCATCAGCTTCTTTTAGACCTCACCATCTTTCAAAAATTTGTTCTGTTACACTATTTAGAGAGTGAAAAAAAAAAAAGATCACCTATTTTCTGTTTATTTTGAACACAGGATCCTGCTAAATTATTCTCTTACTCCCCTATATCTTGTTCTGAACGTGACAGCAAACAATTGATTTCTGTGCACCCTTTCCTTGCTCTCACACTTACACAGACCTCTATAATTTCATCCCTCATTTGTCTCTTCCAGACCCAGGAATGCCGGATTACTTTGCCATCCTTTACAAGGTAGCCATTCCATGCCTTACCAACTTCCCCTCCAAAATCATTTGAATTTGCAGACTAGCAACTTCCACTAAATTACTGTATTGCTTTTTCCCTCTGTTCATTACTGTAGGTGAAAGGTCTCATTCCATCTAAAATCCATGTTGCTATTGGTTCCAATGAAACTAGCTTACTAGCCAGGCTATCCCGAAACAAGGCTTGCTTTTTATCTGAATCACTCACAGATAAACTCTAAAGTCAGGTTTTTCTTTGAGGAACTCTAACTTACTCCCATTTTGTTGTGTCTACTTGTGCCCTGAAATCCTGTTTCAAGAGCTGAAATGCAAGCATAATTGGTGCCTCTCACTGCATCAGTTATACTTTAATACAACTGGATAAAAGATCCCTCTTACAAACCTTATCATACAATGATGTGGGTTGGAAGGGACCTTACAGATCATTCAGTTACAACCCTCCTGCCATGGGCAGGGACATCTTCCCCTAGAACAGGTAGTTACGTGTGGTTTCCCTCAGAGCCACACCTAGCCCAGCCTTAAACACATATGCTTCAGCAAAAAAACCCCAAAAAACCAAAAAAAACCCAAAAAACCAAAACAAACAACATCAACAACAAAATAACAAAACCCCCCCACAAAAAAACCAACCCAAAATCACAAACCAGAAAAAGAGAAAATAAACTCATCACATTTTATCACTTTACTTTTTAATTACAACTTACCAAAATTACTTCATTTCCTTTTACAAGAAAAAAAGAAAGAGTGAGGGTGGTGACAGAAACACATTTCCAGATTAACTTATGAGAACAAAAAAGTGCACCTTTCTGAAGTGACACGGATTCTTTCATCATTGGAGGAGTTGAATCTGTCATCCTTTTCTCTAAAATACTCTTCTATGCACTGCTCTTCAAAATCATGGACCTTTTTCAATTCATCCTCAGTTATGAAAAGTTCTGTGGAAAAATTTTGAGAAATAAGAATTTGGCAAATATTAACATGTGAACTAACTACATTCTTATTTGTGAAACTCATGGACTTAAATTTCATAAGCAAGTATGTGGCATTTTGATATCAAAACAGATAGATGCTGTTAATTATGGAATTAGTGCTTTAGTTATATATGATTCTGTAGACAGAAGCACCTAAGCAGGCAAATGCTGACCAAACATGAATATGTTCTGATTTCATGAGATCTAAGCACAGCTGCTGGTCATGACTGGACAGATGGTGAAAGCCAAAGTCCACCTTTAACCTAACAGACAAATAATGAGATTAGCAGACTGCTAGGAAGGAGTCTGAGCATGCAGGGGTCTGTCTGATGTGGCCAGAAGTGACACCTGCAGGCAGCAGTGTGATGGGAGTGGGAGGAGAGCCGTCTGGCTGCATCTCCAGGGCCACAAGTGACTCCTGCTCCCTCCTCACAGAGAAGTGGGCTGTGGCATTGGTTAATGCTGGGCAGAGATACCCATCCCTTAGCTCCCTGCCTCTGGCATGCACATTGGGCAAGGTGGAGATATTCTAACTCAAAGAATTAGATAGAGAAGAGGAAAGCATTATCAAAATAATCTGACAGGTTTCTCATCATGGTTATGGGACTTCATTTAAAGCCTGTTGAGGAACTACTCCTCCAGTCTGAGTCAGAGTCAAGGAGAGATTATGTAAACAAAATTGCCTTTTACCATCTCTAAGCTTATCTAGGCAAAAAGTGTGCTCAGGAGAAGTATGCGCTGTTTGCTCTGTATTTTCAAAAATAAAGCTGGAACTGTCATGGAGTGAGAAGAATTCCAGCAATAACAGACCACTAGTAACAGCAAAACAAACCTCTCCGCTTTGAAGGAACAAACAGGCAACAACCCCAAATAGTTCCAGAAAAACACAGCCTCCTTAACATTGCAAAGAGAATGAAGGGTTGGGCAAATCAGGTAAAACTAACTAATTTAGGCAAGGTTTTTGCAGGTGAGAGTTGTTACTTTGCTGGGAAGGTTATCAAGGTTCAGGGCTTTGACTTCATGCATGTCAAACACTAGACGTTATGAAAGGAATTGTAAAGCCCCCTTTCTGCATCATCTGAGTCTTACTCAATCCATAGTCTCTCTCATCTGGGTCACTTTCATGCTTCCTCCATCTGCAGCAGAGGTGTTGAAATATCATTGTCATGTGGCTGAAAATGATCAGAGGTGGTGGGAGAACAGGTCTTTCGTGGAATGTCATGATGAGCTGGTACCTTTGAAACTTCCAAACTTGGTTTGATATAGATTTGACTTCAAAAAACGTGTTGCTAGAAGGCAAGAAGAAGAAAATAACATCAGCCTGAAAATGGGTTTGGGTGCTTTGCCAAAGATGACATGACAGCATCATAACTAGATACATTTCAATAACACTGGCAAATGTTTCCTTGTCACAAGAACAGGAAGCAGAACAAAAGAGGAAGTTTTTGCCTGGGCAAAGCATGGTGATAATCAGCCTTTTTGAAGTACCTTATGATTGTAAATGTCTGCACTGTACAATCCCTGAGTCTTACAACATCCCATTGAGATGGGGAAGTATTTTTACCTTTGTTTTCCCTATTGGGAATGAATGATGCCATAACTGAGCCTTATTTGGCTTCTTTGCCCTGGTTCCCATCAGGTGTCTGTCCTTGTAAATGAGCACAATGTGAAAAACTCGGCATTTCCCTTGTTTCCTGGAGACAAGCCTCTTTCCCTCTCCCCCTTACATCCTAGGAAAATGTATCTCAGCCAAAGCCAAAGCTCAGCAGTCTTCGCAGGCTGTGAACAATATGCATCCTCCCCAAGTCTATATTTTGCAAAGTGCCACTCACTTGAAAACTGCAATGAGGAGATTCACCAAAAGGATGTTTGCTACCAAGAGGTAGCAGGCCATGATGGCAGGAACGATCCATGCTCCTGTCTTGCAGGGAGGTAGCTGGATAATTTTGCCATCTTCTCTGGTTTCATTTTGACCACAAGGTGCTGGGAACAAAATTTAGAAACAAAAAAATGCAAAATGGGAATTAAACATATTTTTTCAGTAGTTTGTGCGGAAATATTTAAATATTTATAATGGCCTGCCTGCCAAGGCAATATCATCCAAATTACAATGGCATTGACATTCTCTCCTCAGAAGTTTATGCTTGGTATCACAGATTTTACAGGCTGTAGTTTTTGTTATTGTGTGTTATGTGCCATGGGTATCAAGATATTTCTCTCAGGACACATGCCTAGTGCGAGTAAGCTGCCTATTTGCATATGTAATACTAAATAATATGGTAGTCTGGTGGCAATTAGTGGCTGTGAAAATGAAATTATTGAATTGTTTAATCCTACAAAAAAGCTTGCATATTATTTATTTAACAGTGAAAACCTTGTCTTTTTTTATTGATTGAGAAGGATGTGATAAATAAGGAAAAGGAAGTCCATGAAAGTAAATGAAAGAGTAGACATTTATTGCTGTGCACTGCACTGTGTCAAGCCCCACTAGGACATAGTCATAATGACTTTCTGCTATTAAGGACTCTTGACTGCATGCCTAGAAACAGTGGGGGAGATTATCAAGTCTTTACTGAACCAGGTACAGGGACATATATGCAGCAGAGATGCCACCTGTTTATTCCACAAATACATTGGAATCAAAATGTTCTTGATATTAATGTTGTAGAACTGAAGCAAGGGGAGAGAAAACATGGTGAAATAGTTTTCCCTGCTTGTGTTTTAATATGCCTTCATGTGCAGTGAAGGATAATCTTCATCTCTAAGCACGGGTTCAGTTTATGTCTCCTCAGCTTCAGTCCTGGTGGTTCTACGGATCTCCATAATCAGCTCTTTGAGAAAATTATGGAAGCAGTAGCTTACAAATACAACCCATCTTAGTAAATTTTGCACAGCACTACAGCTAGCTTTCTCTCATCCCCATCAAAAAGAAGTTTAAGTGAGGAATTTCCAAAGTTCTCAGCACTGGCTCAGTTCCTAGTGATTTCATTGGAGGTTTTGTACCAACTTCATGGAAAATGAGGTTTGATGATGCCATATGTAGAATTTCATTGTACAGCAGGAAATTCACATTTCCAGTACCAACCATTGCATCTTCTCGAAAATGTTCTTCTGAACTTGGTTCATTGAGCTTGACATTCACTTGTGGATGTCTGTACTGGCCATCATATTACATTATGTGTGATTTTGGTACTTTGTTTTGGGCACTATTACACACAGAACCATTGTAGCCAAATGTGACACAAGACTACATGACCTCTCCAAAAATATTCAACTCACTGAAAAAGAAATCCCAGAGTGGAATACAGGCAACCCTGCTTTTTATCAGCAGCTCCATTGTATTTGGGCACATGGTGTTACCAGTCCTTCCTGTTTGCAAAACCACATTTTATTACTGGAGCAGGCTGAGACTATGCAATTCTTCATTTCCAAGTAAACATCACTTTGCAAATCATTTTAAGGCAGGGCTATTTTCACACTCCTCCAAGCACTGGTTTCATTTAGACATTCAAAATACCATCAGTGTAGCGCTGGGAGTGTGGAACTCTCTGGTCTTGGCCTTCACCCAGCAGAAACTGCACCATTCAATTCCTCTTGCTATCAGCATTCAGTGTGAAACTTATGTCTCTGTTTGTGTGGAAACATTAACTTGCTCATATATTGAGTCAGAGGTACAAAGTCCAATACAACAAAGTACCAAAACCCATTGTGATTTCACCAGTGATAGAACAATCACAGTATCTGAAACCTGTTGTCCTCTTTTGTGCTGAAAACAGAACAAATAATATCTTTCCAAATAATGAGAAAAATTTTGAAAAGCATTTTTCAAACCTTAGATAAATGAGATCAAAAACTCAGGTCCAACTCTGGTTCCAATTCTATTATCCTTTTTTCCCCCTAAAAAACATAGAATTTAATCTAGGAAAAAAAACAGTTAAGAAGACAAGAAATATTTCTCCAGCTCCACTTGCTTACAAGTGGGTAATCTCTGTTGGTATGTGCCACTCAGTGATGGCCAAATTAGATTTCTTTTGCAGACATGTTCCCACAGTCTATTCTATCATACCCATTGTGGTTCAGCTTGTCCTGAAGCTTTGCAGTAGTTTTTCTCTTTTCTCTTTTGCATATTTTGTTGTGGGAGCATGGGAATACTAATTTCTTGCCTTACTAATGGAGAGCTAAGCCACCACTTAATTTTCACATCTTCAGCTGCAGAAGAAAACATATGATGTGTGCTCAAAAATGCAGAAGTCTGTGTTCCATGGCATGTCATTGAACATCTTCTTTCATATTTAAACTATGACATGCATTTTCAAGAATTTTTTTCTCTATGGTTAATTGAAGGTATGTACTCTGCCTTGCCCCTGAGGAATCTGCTCTGCCCTTCATGTATAATATCATTCAAAATATGAATTATTTTTGGAGAGATGAAGTAATTTTTGTAATATGTGCATTAATATATTGTAATATATTTCAAAGCCCAATGTTAACATGTATGCAAATTTGACTCATCTGTTTTACATTATAGCCTTGCTCTAACACAAACCACAGAACACTTAATTCTAGCAAAATGCTTTACTGAAGAAGCAAATTCTGGTAGCATAATGATATGCCAATCTCAGTTAGCTGAAAAAGCCAACAGCTCTGATACCTATAGGCCACTGAATAAAGTTCAGACACTATGTCCTGAACCTAGGCTTTAGAAAACAGTAAATGGTTGGAGTTTTAATTTAAATTATATGAATTAACTTCACAAAGCTTTAAAAAATTGCCTCTTGACACCTGTAGATGTACATACTTTTTGCATCCCTTGCTTCCTTTTTCACAATCTCTTTCCATGCTTATTTTTCCTTTCTGACTCCCATTTACAGTTTCCTGCTGGGACTTCCTTGCTGCATTCCTAACACTTCCTCTTTCCTGTCCAGGGAATAGTTGCAAAAAAGCCCAAAAGTAATTCAAGCTGCTGTGTGTTTCAGGCCCATCGTGGAGGCAGAGCTCAGGAAGAATTTCCCTGCTGTAATTACTGTCATGACAAGGACACTGTCCACATTTAATGTGTGTTGGGTGGAGGGATTGGCAAAGGATGCTGGTGAGTTTCTGCATCATGACTCTTACCCCAGCTGCACCCTTCCAGAGCAGGCGTGGGAAATAATGAAAAGACCAAATGGCACAATTGAACAGCTCTGCCACTAAATAGCTTTTTGCCTTTCATGAAAACTTCTCCTATAAAAATGTATACCACTTTTACAATAGAAATTGATTGGTTTGAAATCACAATAAACTGAGGGATGCTTTCCTGTTCACAATTATAAATAAAGTGGAAACAAATAAGTGCAACCAAATAACAAAACAAATTTTTTTTAAAAATTCAAGTCTGGTTATTTTTAATGCACTTTCATAATACTATTTATGGGTATGTACACACCTTCCAATTTTGACCCACAATGAACCCAAAATATGTGAAAGTATTTTATTATTTCTGAACCAAATGTCTAAGCAGCCTTACCAGCTTACCAGGCTGGTAAATATTGAAACGCATTGCCCTCCCACCAAAAATATTAAGTGGCCTTCCTAAAGTTGTTCTCTTCTTCAATGATGGAGAAAATACTAAAATCTGCAAACTCTGAATTTCACAGAATTACTCTGTTCATCAATAGAAATATCCAGGGATTTGATGTGTGTCTCCTTACTTCAAGAACATTTCTTTAACTGTAGCATCCTGACCATGTTGCTTCTTGACCCAGGCCACATTAAATGTGACTTTGAAGGGTCTCTTCAATCTGCTGGCATTTTAATAATAATTTATAGCAAATCCCTGTATTTTTCTTGTTCACTCTAGTGCTTTATTCCTCCTCTACTCTACTTCTTACCCCATTAAAAATAGCCAACCAAACAGAACTTGAATTAGAACATCAGGAGTGCTAGATATGGGAATACTGCTGCAATCCAGCCCAGAGTGACTTTCAAAATTGTTTGTAGTCTGTGCAAAAATCTTATCCACCACCTTTGTCTAACAACCTTAAAATTATTGCCACAGGTATGATTTATTCTGTTTTGTACAGAGCTTTCTGTTCTGTTTGTTCTAATTCCAGAAATGTCCATGAAAATGACAGGCCAAGTAGGAAGCTCCTATTGAAAAGCATGCAGCCTGTAAGGTCATAACGAGTTTAGTATGTAATTTTCATTTGTACAAAGAAATTTTCAAGAATTGTAAAACTTAAACAGATCTAAAAGACTAAGAAATTTAAAGAATTTTTAAGTTTTTCGTATTAATTATAGTTTACTCTGAAGATCACTAAATAGTTAAAATCTGTGTATGGGAGTCTCTCATCTTCTAAAACTATTGCATTCTGGTTACTTGATATTCCTGTCATACAATTGAAACAGAAAGAGGTCCCATCTTTTCCTCTTAAACTAGGTAGGTTTTTCCAAAACAGAAATAGACATAAGAAATAAATTCAGACTGATCTTCAGATTCCAGATGGCACGTGAAGTACTGTCAGCTGGTAAAAAAATCCAGATGGAAATCCAACCTGTGAGACACCAGGAAAACCTGAAAACCTTCCCAGAAGCCATGTTGACTAACAGCAGGTTCAGTTTCTTGGCCTTTTGAATACAGGAAAATGTGAGCTCTGATGTTCATTTTCTACAGATAACTGCCATTTCCCAACCTGGCATTTATGTCCTCTACCTACATGTTTTTTACCAACAAACTCACATTTCCATTTCAGTATTTCTTATATCCTTCTGTAACCATAGTATTCTGGAGGGGCAGATAGTTCTGTAAGGTGAAAAAAAGTTCTTCACAGGTGAGAACTGTCCTATGAATATTCCTGACTAAAACTGCCAGCACAAGTGCCAACGTGAGGTGAACTGAGGGAGAGATTTTACAGTATTTGTGGGAAATCCACTTCTGGACAGGCATCCACTGAAGCAGTTACATGGCTGGCTGCTGCCCCACGGATCCCATTGGGCAGCACAAGGCACAGATGGATTAGGAAAAACAGCCTCCAAGTGAGACAGTTGCATGTGCCATCACCAGCTCCCTGATTCAGATTCTCCTTCCTCCCCCAGCTATCAGTGGATAATAATATATTTTTACTCAACTACATAATTGAGATCAGTCTATTTTTTTCAATTTATCAAGCTCTTATTATTATTCCTTTCCTGAAATATATTAATTTTTAATTTCCCAACCTTTAAATAATTTATAAATTTGATTAGCTTACTGCCTGCTTTCAATTCTATGGTCTAAGCCTTTATCTGAATCCCAATAGTTGGTAATTGGAGTTTTCTAGACCCAAATCAAAACTCAATAGCTCAAGTTGGTTTCAGTCATGATTGATGTTTCACTTGGACTGGCTGGACTTTTCCATGAAGTAGCTTGACTATTATAGTATACTATAGTAGCTTGACTATTCCTTGATCTTTACATACTTTCAAAGACTGTTTCATGAAATTGCTAAAACTTCCTGAGTAGAAAACATGGTATGTGAAACCTTCTGTCAGTGCCAGATCAGCTACATGGAATGTTCTGAACATCTGCATACAGTTATGGGGAAAATATAGTCTAATTAACTGTAATTGCACGTCCTTTGTTTATAGATCAAATTCTACTCATTTCCTGCTCAAACACCTAGAGGAAGACCGTTATGATTGCACTGTGACAGTGAAGTCTGTCTTTTCTAGCTCCCCATTCCCCAGGCCACGTGGAGCTGGGCTGTGGACTGGATGGGACTGAAAGGGCACCAGGAGTCCAGGATGTCCCCACTGCTGGCAGCAGTCACTCTGCCATGTGCTGCTGTCTGTGGCTCCTCCCTCAGCATGTTTTAGGCACATTCAGCAGTTCTCACTTCTCACACTCTCTTCATCCAAGAATCACTGAAGCCTACCATTCTAGTTCTACATCTTTTCATATGGAGCACCTGTTTAATATGACAAGCCTTTTAGATTTTTTAGTGGTCATATTATGATGAACTGCCAGTCTGAGAGGAACTACTTAGAGAGTGGTTTTTCTGGTTTTATTGACTTAACCTGAAAATTTGAACACAGATCTAAAAGATTTACTCTCTTCCACCCCACTTTACAACTGATTCTTAGTCAGAAATTTGTAGGTTTGTAGCAGTTATGGACATCACTGATAATAAAAACCACCACTGAATAATGTGTTCATAATCCCAGAAGTGAGGATATAGTGTGTCCTCACTTTTGAGTTGAAGATGAGATCACATACCAACAGGACATTAACACATACTCCAGCTTACATATTTTTCCTTAAAAATGATATGAATACAGAAATGATGGGTAAAAAAAGTAAATATGCACTGTTTTACAACAAGACATTTAGCAGTGTGCTGAAACAAAAATCACAGTAGACCCACTGGATGAAAAGGCTGCCAGCTGATGAGATGGACTCAGGCATTGTATCTGGTCAGCCTTGATGGCATGCTTCACAAATAAAATAAAAATAACTAATTAAATAGATAAAACTGATTTTTCTTTAAAAAAAGTACATTAGAGATGTTAGAGTAGCCTACTTTTCTGTACATTTCTCAGATACCAGGATTGATTTCCAGGAGACTAGCTCAAATAAACATGCTTTTCCATGATCAGCACTTTTACTGAAACCTAAGTTTGCAAATAATGTAGCAATATTAAACACCAAAATATAAACAAAATCACAAAGCAACCCCCTTTTTTTGCTGTTAAAATAATGCTGATTAAAAAAAGAATGTGCTCTAAATCATGAAGATAAATCACAATTTAGATGTAGCATAACAATTTTAGAACATGCTTATCTTATTTGAGAAAGTACAAACACTGTAGCACTTAAACATGAGCACAGTGGCTGATTTAGCTTAGAATAACATGGAAAACATAAATAACAGCAAATGTTTAAACAGTGAAAAAATGTGAGTATACTAGTAAAACCTTCTGGGTGTCCATTGGATCATTTTGATTGTGTAACAACATCACCAACTATTGCTTGTGCTGCCACAGATAACATTTTTGAGACAATTGAGCATCAGACAGACATGACATACTGTACACAATTTGTGCTAGGAGAGTGGCAGATTCTAATTCCCTGCATCATCTGCCTCTCAGGAAGGAGGAAGTAGGTTTTGCTTTTCATTTTGACATCACTTTTGCTGCAACTCCAAATTTCTGTGACACAGGTAGAAAAACAATATGTCTATATGTAAAGCCGGAGTTTAGGCCACCAGGAATTTTACTTTCCCTAAGCTTCAGAAATAATTACTCTGCATCTTTTTGCATTATTTAAATGTTGTGCATCTAAATAACACAAATCCTCATGTAAGGGTGCGCAGTCTGCCACCCTGCTTTCATACTTAAACACCCTTCAGTTTCTAAAATTTATGGGTTCTAAACTGTAATCAGCCCTTCATTAAAAAAAAACAAGAACACTTTATTCAGCCAATTGCCATGTTTGTTGTACTATGGTAGTTACTCAGTACAATATCAATAAATGGCCACTTATAGAGGGACAGACATTATTCTGCTTGTAGAAGGAAGTATTGTTTTAATGGTACAAATCTTTATTGCTCTAAAATATGCCTTCAGAGCAAGACAAAGTTTTATATCCCCAACTATTACGCCTTTGGAATTAATGAATTTTTAAAAATAAAAGTATAGGGTAAAGGATAAAAAGGAGGGAACTGGGTAAAAAGTGAAAACATAGTGAGAAATTTTGTGATTATAGCTATTTGCTTACTTCCTTGCATGCCATGCTGCCTCTGAAAACCAAGTAGGGAAGCAAAGATAAAAAGGAGGTTTCATCTGTATCCAGAATAATGATACTGTGCTAGCCAGGAAGAAGATGTCAACATGAAACTGCTGCAACATCTGCCATGGGATACTGAAACTATATTCAACTGGGGGCATTATTTGTGATATAGATACATTTACTACTTTTAATCAGATCAGGAAAATTTTTTTTCACTCAGATTTTCTCACTACTGAACAAACATCAAATAAATTTTGAAAATAATGTCATTTCCTAAAATGGTACATAGAATAAAATGAAATATCCTAAACAGAGCTTTAATGGAAGCCATCTGCCACTGGAAAAGGTACTGACTTCCAAATCCTGTCAAGACTTGCATGTAGTTAAGTAGGAATGATGAACATCAGTTACATGACAGTAGCTGCAAAAGATGACATTGTTTGTGATTCTTAGTTTGGTCATCTACTGCATCATTTCTCATGACCAGATCTCTCATTTGGTGGTAATGCAATGAGTGGGACCCCAAGATTTAATCTAAACAGCAAACCAGCATTTTCCTGATCACCTATCTGATGAATCCTGAGGAGTAAATATATTTAATACTGTCTCTTTTCCTGTTTGCATTGGAGTGAGCACAGTTTTGCTTTCTAAACAAAAAAAAAAAAAAAAAAAAAAAAAAAAAAAAAAAAAAAGCAGCAATATTCTAATTCTAAAAATGGATCTAATTATTAGACCCAAAGAATTGCATCAAAGGGTTTAACTTAAATGCAGTACTGAAAAGGTAACAGAGAAAAGAAAACACATCAGGTTAGATCCCTATCAAATACAGGAGCTGAAAGGTCTGACCCCTAATTATTAGACATGATCATCAATATGAAGTTAGACAAAAAGTATTTAGGTCTAAAAATAAACCAAGGGATGAGAAAAAATAAGTGACCTTTTGTGTCCCAAGTACACCACCAAATTCATGTTGGATACTAGGAAGGGGATTCTTGCCACCAAGCTGGTAAAAAGGACACATTTATAACCTTCTCTACATGCACGATAATTTAGCATTACAGATTTCCAGTGAAATGATTGCCAAGTGATGCCAGAAGCATGTTCTGTAACTGACACCCCAATACTAGCTGAAAAAAATTCTTTTGTGATCATTCTCTGTGTTGGAGAAGTTCCTCTATCCAGAGCCATTTATTGAGCAAACACACATGATCTAATAGGACATCATCTGATCAAAGTTGGATACCTGACTTTGGAGTATGAGAATCATAAACTTGCTTACGGTCTATCTGGTCTGCAAACACTTCCCCATAGATCATCCAGTAAGGCATGTAAAAAATGTTTTTCGCCAGCTTCCACGAAGGCTCCTCATTGGGGAAGAGAATGGCCTGTCTTGCCACACCAAAGCTCATCAGAACCACCAACATGATGATGACAAAGTACATCATGTCTATCATCTGAATGTAATGACAGGAAAAAGGAGAGAAAAAAAGAGAGAAAGGACAACAATTAGAGGAAATTTTTGTCCATATTCCTATTATCATGAACTGCAAAAAAGGAAAAAGGTCTGTGAATCTTAGAATTTTCAGAAACAAATTTTGAAAAGCCGTTCTCATTTACACATAAAAAATATTATTTTTCAAAGAAGTGAAGTGGTATTATCGTGTCCTTGATTTTACCCAGTGTGACTTCCAAGAACAATTCAAATGTTATGAATAGGCTTGAAAATACAGAGTACCATCTGGTCACACCAGTTGCCTCAACAAGAATATATGGGTTCAGTGGAATCAGCAGCCGGGTCTGGGTAAGGGTCATGAGATGATGTTTATAGGCACCACGTGGCAACTGTACCTAAGCAAAAGGACTGACATGGATAGTTTTATTCACTGGTAGTCATTATCTCGGAGCAAAGGGAGCTGCAGCTAACATACGGAGGAACGGGTGGCAGAACAGCCTGTTTCTGCAACATAAGGGACACCATGGTGGTAACCAGTGAGAAAGGAAAGCTGTGATACTGGCTGGGATAAAAATCCGCTTGGTGGGGGAGTCTGACAAATGCCACATTAAAAAAACCCAATCAGATAACAGACAGTGAACTCTGCTCTTCTCCACTGCTGAGGGCCTCATTCGCATATGCCCAAGATTAACTAGTGTTTGCAAACAGTGCCCACCCATTCAAAATGTTCCTGAAAACTGTGGGACAGCAATCCTACAAGATGCTAAATAGATCTGAAGATTAGAAGAAGCACTGTTCTAGAAAAAGCCCTCAAGGGAGCAGAACAATGGGTGTCAGGCAGGTACAACAGAGATTACCCAAAGTGAATGTGAAAAAAATGGGAGTTGTGTTAAGTCCCTGGTAAGATCCCTTTAAAACTTAGAGACTTGCCAGGTCTTCATAATTGTTACAACTGAGCTGTTTTTCACAGTTCTGGACATAACTTTTACCTCTGCCAAAACTCAAGTTGAGAATCCTCTAAACCTTATGAGTTTTATTCCCTCCAGTCTCTGCATTTTCCGGCTCAGCTGAATCCAGCCCTCCCTGCAAGAGAGGCGTGAGCCCAGCCCGTACCTCAGCTGGTGCCTGGTGGCTCCGTAGGGCACCGCTGCAGCCCCAGGGCAGGCTGCTCGTGGCACGGGGCTGGTGGAAGAGGGACCTGCCTGCAGCAGGTGGAGCTGGAACTGCTGCAGGCGTTCCTCCATTTTAAAGCAACCTGAGGTCAAAGCAACACTGGGGAAGTATGTACCAGAGAAAAGAGGCTTACAGAGAAAAAGCTATGCTTGTGTTTAGAGAGAGAGGATCTAGGAGAAAGGCACCAGCAGAGCAGGGGTCAGATGAGAGAGAATCAGGAAGATGGAAAGAAGGACCCAAGGACAAGTGCAAAAAAGCAGGGGAAAACAAAAGTCTTGAGGTTCATAAAATAGCAGGAAAGAAAGAAAATAACCTTGGGGACATAAGAGAGGAAAAGAAATGCTTTAAATAATTAAAAACCAGTGAAGTCAACCATCAACATTCCTCTTTAACTCAGGGCATTAATCTCTAAAAAAATACTCCTTTAAGAAGAGAAATTCCAGATCATTGTACTTCAGAAAGCATCCTGAAATGGGAAAGTTGAATAATGACATTTAGTTCTCACTGCTTTTAGGGAACAAACCTAGAGGTGAAAACCAATTCCTCCTTTCTTGTCTGATCAAACTTTGTTTCAGATGGCAATATATAACTTGATATGTTGTAATGTAATAACTATTTAAAAATTTCATGCAAACAAATAAACAAAATCAGTATTTTGAGGCAATTTAAGACAATGTATTAAATGCTTCAAATATTTTTGATCAGGAGTCACATGGGTGTGACCTCATGACCTCATTTTGCAAGAAATAAAATTTTTAGTGCTGTTCCCCATTCAAGATCCACATTACTTTTCTCCTCCCTCAGCTGGGTATCTTCTAAACTCTCAGTAACTTGTCTGAAATACAATAAAATATATGGACAAATTTCCACTGACTTTAATGAGCATTGTATCAGGTCCTTTGGCCTGTGATGTCAAATTACAATTGGTGTTTTAGCAAGGCAATCTAAAGAACTCATCAGTTATCTGTTTAAAAAAGTGTTAAAACACAATTTTTTGGGGAACAATTTAATAAAGAATTATTTCAACTTTTGTATTTGCAGAAATGCTAAAAAATGCAGATATTTCCACACATTAAAGGAACTGATATACCTCTGACTCTCTTGACATTCCACAGTTATTTAATTCAATTTAATTCCTGAAATTTCCTAGAGGAAATTAGTTATATCACTGTGCAGAAATCAGAAAAGCAGAAGCATATTCTGTTACTGAAATCAGTAGATAATAATAAGCTTGGCCATTCAGTTTCCTCCTTGTACCTTCATCTTTGCTTTAACCTATTGTTTTTAAAAAACTCAAGCCCATTCCTGCTTCTTGCTTAATTTCCCTTGCATGTTTGCTCAGAGTGGCCAGAGGTAAAACTTATTATGGGTATTTCATTGACTGCAGTGTAGAGGCAGGCAAAGAGAAAGCTCCTCAACACTGGAAAGATAGAAAAAGCCGTAATTTTCCTCCTGTGTCTAAAATTTACAATAGAAGCTCAAGAAAAGGTCTCAGGCATTAAATATGGTCTGTTGAGGACCTCAGTAGTTGTGATGTGCTTACTTTGTAGAAATATGTATAATCAACTTTATGTCCTTCACAGTGCTGAACTGAGCTTTCAACACCATTTGGAAGAATGCAGGGAGGTAGAGAGAGACACATGATTTAAACAAAAATACACAAGAGAGCCCATGGAGCAGCCTAGAATCAGCAGGTGCAGCTCCCAGGGAGTGTGTGTGTTGCACAAGAGAGTAAGCTGGTGAGAAAATAGATGTGAGAGGCTGATCTGAGTAACTCCAGGTGGTTGTGCATTGCACGTGTGGGCAAAGGGGATGTGCCAGAGTGGCTGAAAGTGCAAGGAAAGTTGAACAAATGATGAAAACCAAGCAACTGAAAGGTACAGAATAGAAGAATTTGCCTCCTTTAACAGCTGCCCAGAACTTCAGAACAATTTGGCTGCTAAATTCAACACCCTCTAATGTAGATACTGAGCACACAGAGGTTAGAGATTTTCCTGCATTTGTTTTCCACAGAAAGTGGAGTGAGGTTTGATTTGTTGTGAGTGACACACGTGTGAGTGACAAAGGAATGAAAATGCTATTAATTTTAATCACTTCCTTTCTGCCTGACATAGCAAAAAAATGAACCACTCTTTGTACTGCTGGGGGAGCTGGACTCCTATCAGCCACCTGTAACACTGACTACTAGAAGTTCGTTGCACATGGGCCCTCTATTATTGAACTGTTGCTCACTCTGCCTGTGTTAGCACCACAGAAACTTTAAGTGCATGTATCTGTGAAAAATAAAGCAGAGTACAGGGGTTTTTTCAGATGTTTTATACATTTTGTATTGTGTAAGCCCCAGTGACCACCAGATCCACTGGCAGAAAGGGAGTCCAAATGTGGCAGAAAAGAAACCTGCTAAAGCAGTTTTTCTCTTTGATCTGTGTTCCTGCTGAGTATTTTCACTCTGGAGCTCTGCAAAACCTGATGCTAACCTCCTTTATGCTTTCTTGGAGGAAGGGCACTTCAAAATCCCTTTTACAGGACATAACAACTCAACTATCACTTTCATGTTTTCTCTCAATCTCTCTCCCTGGCTTTTTTTCCATTAAGCTCTTTTTTCTTTGTCAAACCCAGCACTGTGGGCTTGCAGTAGAAAGCTGGTAAATTGAGAGATAAGACAATGGTTCCCTGTTGGACAGAGTGTGTAAGTGGAAGTATATTTTGCATTTCAGTTCTACACCTGCTCACTGTGCCTGTTGTGACTAATGCAATACCAAGGAGATATTGTAGCCCATGCACTCATACATGTCCCCTTTTCTTATGATAGTGAGGATGGACGAAGCTTTCCTTAAAGGACCATTGTGAGATAAATACAACAGACAGCCTGTTTGGACTTGCTGATTATTGTCCCATGCCAAACAGATAGCAGTATTTCATCTAGAGGAGTTAATGTTAATTTTACTTTTTTTTATTTAAAGTGAGCTTCAAGCGGCTTTAATCTATTTAGAAAACCCCAAATCTTAAACATCAAAATGCATGAAACAGACATGATTTACACAAGAAAAGCTGGATACTGTATGTGAAATGTGCACACATGTATCAGCTACATACGCAGATATCCAAATATCAGGGATGTGTGCATTTGCATCTGTAAATCCAGCCATTTTCTTTAACTGAAACAAGCAAAATGCTGTTTAATTGCAACAGTTCAATGGAAACATGAAAATTGAAAATTGAAAAGTCAAAAGTCAAGCATGTGGAAGTAAATGTCTCTTGATTTCTTGTGCATGCATTTGCTATTACACAAGCTGTTAATATTCCTGCTATGGTGTGTATGATTGATGTGGCCAGGGCACAGAGGTTGCAATTATGCCAATGGATTTCTCATGTCACCAGGACACACCTGAACTTCAAAGATGGAAGACCATGTGGATGTGGATCAAACTGTAGAAGGGTCAGTCTTCACCATAACCATTATAGTTTTGAACACACCATGACTGTCACAAGACACTGAGAGTCTCAAGGTACTACACACCTGAACAATTTTTTCTTTACCTTAACAAACCACCTTCCTTTAAAATCACTACATCTCCTTTGTACTTTCTGCAAATGAGGCACACAGGGGTTTAGGGTGGCTCTGCTGTTGAAGAGTGATGTCAGAGAAAGGAAAATGATACATATCTAACAGAAGAGGAAATACCCATCCTCGATTCTGGAGGTTTTGATTCAGTCTACATGGAAACACTAACGTAAAAATCATACGGGTGGATCTGCAGCAATGCCACTGACTAAGGACACCGAGCCAAGAACACGCTGCCAAAGAGAAGAGGATTGCCCAGTGCTGTTACCATTTTCCCGATCATCATGACGTAGGGCCCCAGGTACTTGTTGACACCGAAGATGTCCAGCAGCCGGATGTACCAGTAGATGATGTTGACGCAGTAGATGACGCGGCCGTCGCTCCGTAGAGGCAGGTCTTGCAGGCGGAGAACCATCCCAACAGAGAACAGGAGGATAGCTATGAGGTCAGTAACATTCCAGTACTCCTGGAGCCAAACTTTGACTTTTTGCAGCAGCTTCCCAGGCTCTGACATGAGGATCTGAAGGACAGAGGAAATGCAGAGGAGAGGAGCTGAGCTGTTTTCATATAAAGGTGAAGAAATCTGTAGTAAGCAGATAGATATATGCCACAAAGGCCAAAAGAAAAGCTGATAGATCCTTATCATCCTTATCATACAAATATCTCAGGTACTCTCTGTTATTTTTCTCTTGAAACCTTCCGCAATTCAACCATTAACATGTATCTATGTGCAAGAGACTTTAAAGGACAAAGCGGACAAAGGACTCAGTCTACAATCGTCACCAAATCAGTAGAAATGTGTGTATGTATTTCTGTTTTTCAAATGTATTAACTCTACCTAGGGTCTTGGAATGGAGGGTAAAATACGGAAAGAGTTTTTAAATCAGAAAATTCACATCTAAAGAAGCTATAGATTTGCAGAAAGTTACATTAAAATATGCATCAAATGACCAAGAATAATTAATAACCATAAAGCTCTGCATCAGAAATTTAATAAAGAGAGACACTAGATAGTACTTGGGCCTGTTTTTTGAAATTAGGTTACACAGCTAAGAATAAAGGTCACAGAAATAAATAATCTTACCTTATGAATTTATTGTCATTCTCCTTGAAAGATCATTTATGTAACTCTATTGTTTTTCCAAAATACTCTTAAAACTATTATTCAAGTGATCTCCATGAATAAGTCCCACCATTTAGAGAGTTAACAAGCTGTTGGTTTTCATTTTCTATATTTAGCCCAAGAACATTTGAACATGCTCACACAGTTCCTCAAAAAAGATGAATTTGTTTTTGGAATGAATTTTGGGCTCATCTGCGAACAATTCCAACATCTGCTTAGAAATCAATCGTCACAAATGTTCTTGGTAAACTTTTGTGGAAGTGCCAGTTTGGGCTGAATGATTAGGCAAAAATCAGGTCACACAACTCCTGAGTGCAGCCTCCTACCTGCTGAGCCAGCAGTGCCTTGGCTCCATTAGAATTGCAGAGTCCTCGTGTGGCTACTGCCACTGCTTTCCTTTCTCTTCTGCCTAATGACGTGTACTCATGGGCCACTCAAGCAGGGTCTTTTCCTCTGTTCTTTTTATTTATTATGTAGCATTTATTACACAGTGTCAGAAACCCATCTTTGAAGCCCAAGTGTGGCAGGCAAGCCCATTTTTAGTCTAGTCCTCCAGAGCACTGGCTTCAGAATGTACAAACACAAGTGGTAACAGATTCAGCCCAGGGGTACAAATGTGTTCTTTCAGCTGAGGTCAATGGGACTTGCATTCACTCACATTAGGGCTGAACTGGGCCTCTGGTGTCACTGTGGGATAAATGGACCTTTGGCTAAGTGAAAGAGGACAGCATTAGGTAGGAGAGACCACGAGGGCAGGGTTAACAGAGCCACTTCACTCATTTTATAGACCGAGTGCTATTTTATATGCTCTGTCTCTGCTCTGTGTGTCTGCTTTTGCATCCTTAGGCAGATGCACACTATTGCTTGACACATCAAAAAAATTTTAGAGTCACATTTTAAGGAATTTTGCCGACCTTTAAGGCTTGTCAGAAGGTCCCTATGTACTTGTGAATGCTATTAAAGGAGCATCACTCTGAAATTTGAACACAGAAATTTTGTGGGAGTAGAAGGAGAAAAGGAAGAAAGGGAGGGAGGGAGGGAGGAAGGAAGTGGTGGAAGGAAGTGGCGGAAGTGGCGGAAGGAAGGAAGGAAGTGGCGGAAGGAAGGAAGTGGCGGAAGGAAGTGGCGGAAGTGGCGGAAGTGGCGGAAGGAAGTGGTGGAAGGAAGAGGCGGAAGTGGCGGAAGGAAGGAAGGAAGTGGCGGAAGGAAGGAAGTGGCGGAAGGAAGGAAGGAAGTGGCAGAAGGAAGGAAGGAAGGAAGTGGAGGAAGGAAGTGGCGGAAGTGGCGGAAGTGGCGGAAGTGGCGGAAGGAAGTGGCGGAAGGAAGGAAGTGGCAGAAGGAAGTGGCGGAAGGAAGTGGCGGAAGGAAGTGGCGGAAGGAAGTGGAGGAAGGAAGTGGCGGAAGGAAGTGGAGGAAGGAAGTGGTGGAAGGAAGGAAGGAAGGAAGGAAGTGGCGGAAGGAAGGAAGGAAGGAAGGAAGGAAGTGGCGGAAGGAAGTGGCGGAAGGAAGTGGCGGAAGTGGCGGAAGTGGCGGAAGTGGCGGAAGTGGCGGAAGTGGCGGAAGGAAGGAAGGAAGGAAGGAAGGAAGTGGCGGAAGGAAGGAAGGAAGGAAGGAAGTGGCGGAAGGAAGGAAGTGGCGGAAGGAAGGAAGGAAGGAAGGAAGGAAGGAAGGAAGGAAGGAAGGAAGGAAGGAAGGAAGGAAGTGGCGGAAGGAAGTGGCGGAAGGAAGGAAGGAAGGAAGGAAGGAAGGAAGGAAGTGGCGGAAGGAAGTGGCGGAAGTGGCGGAAGTGGCGGAAGTGGCGGAAGTGGCGGAAGGAAGGAAGGAAGGAAGGAAGGAAGGAAGGAAGGAAGGAAGGAAGTGGCGGAAGGAAGGAAGGAAGGAAGTGGCGGAAGGAAGGAAGGAAGGAAGGAAGGAAGGAAGGAAGGAAGGAAGGAAGGAAGGAAGGAAGGAAGGGGCGGAAGTGGCGGAAGTGGCGGAAGTGGCGGAAGTGGCGGAAGTGGCGGAAGTGGCGGAAGGAAGGAAGGAAGGAAGGAAGGAAGGAAGGAAGGAAGGAAGGAAGTAAGTGGCGGAAGGAAGGAAGGAAGGAAGGAAGGAAGGAAGGAAGGAAGGAAGGAAGGAAGGAAGTGGCGGAAGGAAGTGGCGGAAGGAAGGAAGGAAGTGGCGGAAGGAAGGAAGGAAGTGGCGGAAGGAAGTGGCGGAAGGAAGGAAGGAAGTGGCGGAAGGAAGGAAGTGGCGGAAGGAAGTGGCGGAAGGAAGGAAGGAAGTGGCGGAAGGAAGGAAGTGGCGGAAGGAAGGAAGTGGCGGAAGGAAGGAAGGAAGGAAGGAAGGAAGGAAGGAAGGAAGTGGCGGAAGGAAGGAAGTGGCGGAAGGAAGGAAGGAAGGAAGTGGCGGAAGGAAGGAAGTGGCGGAAGGAAGGAAGGAAGGAAGGAAGGAAGGAAGGAAGGAAGGAAGGAAGGAAGGAAGTGGCGGAAGGAAGGAAGGAAGGAAGGAAGGAAGGAAGGAAGGAAGGAAGGAAGGAAGGAAGGAAGGAAGGAAGGAAGGAAGTGGCGGAAGGAAGGAAGGAAGGAAGGAAGGAAGGAAGGAAGGAAGGAAGTGGCGGAAGGAAGGAAGGAAGGAAGGAAGGAAGGAAGGAAGGAAGGAAGGAAGGAAGGAAGTGGCGGAAGGAAGGAAGTGGCGGAAGGAAGTGGCAGAAGGAAGTGGCGGAAGGAAGGAAGTGGCGGAAGGAAGGAAGGAAGGAAGGAAGGAAGGAAGTGGCGGAAGGAAGGAAGTGGCGGAAGGAAGGAAGTGGCGGAAGGAAGGAAGGAAGGAAGGAAGGAAGGAAGGAAGGAAGGAAGGAAGGAAGTGGCGGAAGGGAGTGGCAGAAGGAAGTGGCGGAAGGAAGGAAGTGGCGGAAGGAAGGAAGGAAGTGGCGGAAAGAAGTGGCGGAAGGAAGGAAGGAAGTGGCGGAAGGAAGGAAGTGGCGGAAGGAAGGAAGGAAGGAAGGAAGGAAGGAAGGAAGGAAGGAAGGAAGGAAGGAAGTGGCGGAAGGAAGGATGGAAGGAAGGAAGGGAAACTACTAATTTTAAAGAAGATAGACATTTTTTCCTGCTTTTTTTTAAACAATCCATTTGCCTTTCTGAAAAAAAGGGCAATTTTATGATATGCTCATTCATAAAAATGAACCCTGAGAGAAATAATATAGAAAGATACTAAAATGAAAAAAAAAACAAACCTCAAACCCCATGCTTATTCCTTTTATACTATTTATTGGCTGGGGAGACTTTACCTCTCTCATCTTCTCTATTCCCAGAGTGAAAATGTATGAGATGACAATCCATTCCTGAATAGATGGCCAGCGATCCATCTTCACCAACACAATGTAGTTGAACAGCATCAAGTAGCCTATGTATGCCAGCTGTAAAGAAAAAATATGAGTATCAATTGTCGCTATCTATACAACTGAGCTAGGATATGATTTGATATTCCTGATTCTACTGTAACCAGGATTTCACAGACAAAAGAACAATGAGACTGTCCCGGTTGTCTGAGAAAGCTTACATTAAGTCACATACTGTATAGCATCTGCAAAACACATGCACATATGTCCAGCTATATCTATCTCCTCAAAAAGACTTTATTAATGCAGTTCCCTTAGATCATCCCACAGTGATGGCAATCCTAATACCACTGTGTCAACTACCCAGTTATGTAAGCTATGTGAGATTTCTCCCTCATCTGCTTCTAAAGGCCTTTACTCCTCTAACACCCCTTCTTCGTGTTCCCCCCCGCCCTTTCACCTAATCTGAGCTGTCTGGGATTCTTGAGTCCAGATTTTAGGCATTATTAGAGGTCTTCTTACCCAGTGTAGTACTGACCTAACCTAAAGTATGTTTCCTCCCCAAAAGTATGTTACTCCTACTAACATGCTGCAGCAAGGAGCTGCCCATAGCCATGCATTTATTTGCCTTATATCTTTTTGCAAATTTTTAAGTGTGAATGTTTTTCTTTTCCTTCCTAATAAATTCACCTTCCCGGTTAATTTTTGATCCAGAGGAAAAGTGAATTCCGTTTTTAGTTTATTTTTCTTTGTTTTTCTGCATGCTGAATGTAATTAAATGGTCTGTCAAAAAAGACAATGTCAGGCAAATTGAATCATCAAGTTCCTAAAGTTCAGAGAAACCCTAGAGTCATTCTGGAGCATGGGCTGTAGCAAGGATTCCACTCTGGTTTGTGGAGGCCAGAATCCAGCCTCCTGTCTACTTTGCCTTTCAAACAGCAGCCCTATAAGAAAATGCATCTTAGGACTAAATATAAGTCAGAGAAAAGATGACTCAGCTCTGTGCATGAACATTTAGTCATTGTGATAGAAAGCTGTAATAGATACATCTATATTTGAATTCAGTTTTTATCTCAGTTGTATGTTACTCACTATTGCGCACATGGGCTCACATGTAAGTTGAAACAGCCACAAAGGGCATTGAGACTTTTGGGTAGGATTATTTCAATACTCTGCACATCACCGAATAGAGTTTATAGCTCTATTGTATTTGTTAGAGAACATCACTTCTACTCTTTGTAAAAGCCACAGGATTCTGGCCTTTGTTCCAGTTGCTGGCTGAGGACACTCAAGAGAATTTGTTCTGTGGGCCATAACTATGAGTTTAGAGGAAGCAGACAGTTAAAGCGCTACTTCTGGTCTGCATAAAACAGAGGAGGAAATGATCTCATTTTTCTTTCAGTTTGTGAGGGATGATGGATTGCAATGTGCAGTCATTGGAGGCTGCTCTTCCCTTACCAGTCCTAAAGGAAATGGAGAGCAATGTAGACCAACACGTAGGGTGACACTGGAGTCAGGAGAACCTCTGTCTGGGCAGTCAGAACTGGATACACACCTCCCTAGTGGAAATAGCACCTTCTAATACAGAGCAAAAAGCCAGGTGATACTGTTACTTAACACTCCTCTTAAACCTTATTGATTACTAATTGTCAGGAAATCTACTTTGATCTGCTTCAGCAGCCTTTGGTGAGCACTTGCAGTCAGTACAGCAAAAGAATGAGGGCACAGAGGTTACAAAAGTGACAGAAACAGCAAGAATCTAACTGTAACTAGGGGGTTTTGCTTCTTCCAGGTTTTCTTTTGAAATGCTGGCTTTTTTGGTTTTGGTTTTGGCGGGTTCTTTTATGTCAATTCAAACTTAGTAAAAATTGCAAAATATTTTTGCTTGACAAAAGAGAAAGGAATCTTGATTTGTGAGTAAACTTATACTGAAATGTCTCCACTTTGACCCAAGAAATTAGCCCTTCCGTGACAGGGTGAATGACAGTCTCCTCCCTCCCCACACTTCTAACTTGCTATCACCTTCCCGGAGGTGACACTGATCCAAGACTGTGGTCAAACTTCAGTGTAGCTGCTTGAGCTGGTACTCAAGATTCTTTAAAAGTGCCACTACAAAAGTAGCTGAACCCTGTCTTTTCTTGCTTTTGCCTGGGTTGACAAAGAGCTAGGAGCTGCCACTGTCACCATTGAGGACTGAAGAAGCTAAGGAAGGAAGTGCTACTAAAAAGTTTCAAATGTAGAATGCACCTGGCCCTTTTATGGACGCAGTCCCATTCCACAGAAAATACTGGAATACTCATAGTGGTAGAGGACACACCTGGAATTGTACCAATAGGTTAATGCTTCACGAAGGAGATCACCCTCCTCTTTTCTGATTGATTGCAATAATTAAATTATCATAAACTCTTACTTCCTGCTAGTATCTCAGTTAATGCTAGTAGCAGTGATGCCTAAATATTTTGCTTTTTATGTATTTTTCATATATTTGCAGCTTTTTAGACTACTATTGAATAGTTATATAGTTCCTAGTATTTTTGCTACCATTTCTCTTAGATTTTAGAGTAGTAAGTTAACCTTTTAACACATTCTTGAAATACAGTTTATTTTTTTATTCTGTCTTATTCTTAAGAAAAAGAAGTCTGACAAGGAACAGGCTTCTGTTTTCTGATCAGAATCTGAGGAGACACAATATGAAATGGGGCAAAGAAGTCCTAGATCAACTCCAGTGGGGCGGTACCCAGAGAAAATAACCTAACCAACTACTCTTCTAATTGGACAATATTTGTTAGTTATGCTAATTTGTTAAACTTATAAAAATTGTAGAAATCCAATGCCATGTGAGCTCATTATCACCAGGATACCTGGAAATTTCCAATAAAACTCAATTTTTTATGTTACTATTTTAACATTTTTTGATATTAGGATAGTGGGAGTAGTCAACATTAGGAGAAGGTCATCCTCTTCAAGCAATCTGTGGGATGAAACATTTGCATCATGGTTTCCAATGCAACAGCCACAAAACACAACAAAGCAGTTGACTTCTGAAATTGCTTCATATCTAAAGAGAAAGACTGAAGTTGGTGGGGAGCTGTTGGTTTGTTTGTGTTGTTTTTTGGGGTTTTTTTGATTGGTTTCTTTTGGTACTTTTTTTTGAGAAAAAGTTGTCTAGTGTCTGCTGAGCCAAATGTTTCTTACTCAAATATCTCATTTAACTTGCTCTTGTGTATTTGAAGAATGAATACAGCTATACAGTAATAGAGATACGTAAATGCAGAATATTCAAATTGTTTTAAGTGGCGTACAATAGCCATAGGACCTTTACATGCATTTTGGACTACAGAATGTAAAATTTGAACAATTTATTTTGAAATCCATAAATAATATCTGTGCCCATGTATTTGCAAAATGTGATACGCTGTACAATTTTAATCCTTCTCTTAAACTTGTTTTGCTTTGACTCTCCAGGAGTTCTCAATATACACAACAGGTCAAGTATGGCAGCCAGAATCCACCTTAACTTGCTCTCCAGGTTCAGTGTATCCAAGATCCAGTTTTAATAAATGACCTTGATTGAGACCTGCCTCAGGACATCAAACTGTAGGAACAAGCCTAAATGGAAATCCAATATTGATTTCTCTCTCCCATTTAAAAATTGAACTAACAGGATGCTTCTTTCCATTTGCAGTGTAAAGACTTTTCTGTTTGTGCATAATACACACTGCAATTGATAATGAGATTAGGCTGCTGATGAGTAGTTTCTGGACTTGTGGGCTTGATTAATGTTCAGTGGCCACTGAGTTGAGCAATAAATTACTCCAAGTTGTTAAACTCTGCTAGTCTACAGCGTCCACCACAGTTAAGACTTGATTGATGTGAGTTGTTCCCAACATCTGCAAGGCAATTTTTCTTATAAGAAGTCACTTGCAGAAGGATCCATTCTTTGTGATTTGCTGTGCTTTCAGCAGAATGATGGAAAATATGACTGGGAAAAACCACCTGAAACTATCTAGCCAATTCCATTGGGTTGACGCACGATTAATTCCAGTGTACCATTACGAACGCATGTCTTGATTGAGATAGTTTAGAAATCACTAATAATGGAAAATCTAGCATGTCCTCACACAGTTCATGACAGTACTTCTTGGACCAGTTAAAAACTGTTTCCTAACTTCTTACCTAGAACTCTCTGGGTGTTATTTTTTGTCCTATTCAGCAAGAATTTTGAGGTACTTACACATATTCAAAAACTGTTACATTCCTTCTGCAGATCTTTTTTTCTTTTAACAGAGAAAACATTCTTGCTTCCTTAATCTCTCCCCTTAAGTATAGCTTTACAAACTTGAAACATTCTCCTTTTTTGGGGTCTTTCAAAGCAGTCCACACTTGTCACATGATGCAGAAGCTGAATTGGGATGGAATATTCCCACTAAGAAGACTGAAAAGATCGCTTTCTGTGATCTTTTTAGTTTTATTCCTCTACATTCTAGTGTAATTTGCAAAATAACTAATAATAACTAAATAATAACTAAATAATAACTAAAATAATAACCAATCTCTACTCCATCATCCAAGTTTTGAATAAAAATATCAGATAGCACTTGATATAGAAGAAAACTTTAATCTTGGCTTCCAGCTTGATAATGAATAATTAATATCTACTCTTGAGGACTAATTGTCAAAAAGCTTTTTATCCACATAGTAACTTTAATATAACTTTATTAATTTAGCTGTGAGAAAACCCTGTGAAGTTTTTGGTACTGTTTTACTGTAGTTGAAATCCGTGATATCATTTTTTTCTGCTCCTTCTGGAAGCTTAATTTATTTCAAACACAGTGAATATCCTGACTTAACTAATTTGTCCCTGAAAAATGTACATTGGCTGTCAATCATGTTTTTGATATCTTTTGGGTACTTACCTGCACATTTTTTCTGAGAAACACTCCACAGACTCATCAAAACAGAAAAACAAATAAAAATGTTCCAAGGAAAGAAATGCTCTACCTCTTTTTTTCATCAGTTATTAGATAATTCATATTCTGACTCAGACCAACCTCCCACTGGGCTTACTATTGGAAGCAATCCTATTTTGAATTTTCCTATTGGGAATTCCTTGGGAGCACTACAGCAAACCGCCCCTTACCATTTTATTGAAAGAAAAACATACACAATAATTCAAATTTTAGCCATTAACTTCCCGAACAAAATGGTAATCTTTAAAATTCTTGCAATGCTAGCAGACTTCTACCAAATATTTTTATTAAACTATTTCTGTAAGCCCTCCAATACATATAAATGTAGACATCAATGAAACACAAAAGATTACTTTAGTCCAATTTCAGTATTTGTACAAACAGTATTAATATAATAGGAAAGATTTCTTACAGTGTAAAACCAGAACTTCACGATGGGAGCATTGTAGAACTCGTAGATCTTTCTTCCAATGGGGATCATTCTGTGCCTGCTCTGAACTTCCTCATCCTCCTTCTTTCTTGAGGACTCTCCATTGCCCCGTCCAAGCATTGCCTACAAGAAAGATATATTTACGTTTCTTTCTTGTGAAAGAAAAATTACACAATTTTTTGAAATGTCAATAGGAAACTGTTCTTGATCTCTAGATAAAACCAGATGACCACAGCTAGGCATAAAATGCTTTGCTTTCAAATTGCCTTTTTGCAGGGAGGCTTCTCTTTCATACTTTGAAAATGGAAAGCTATAGCTTTAGCCTCAACCCTCAGCTTGAGAGGGTGATTCCTGGCAAAAAGTAAGTGTGATTTATTTTTAATTTTTGCTGTGTGAACAGAAACACTTTTACCTGACAACAGCTTTATGTGGTGTACTTCTATACAATAAATAGATGCAGACAGATAACAGGTAAATTTTGGTTTTAAACAAAGAGAAGTTCATAAAGCTGAGATTGAGAGAGAACAACAAGGGAAAAGATGATAGTTGATAGTCACTGAACTAGAAGCAAAGGAGACAGTGGCACTTTACAGGTTAATCACTGGACCTGTCCCAGGCTACGATCCCACAGTGAAGCTTACATGGATGCAAGAGGACTTACTAGTAAAGCTCGCTGCAGCAGAAAGGCCTTCAATTGCAATATTCATGTACATGATTTTAACTTCTTCCATAGCGAAGTTCCAGACTGCTCATGCATTGCCTTTGCTGGGCTTGATCTCAGAGTTACCATTTTTTAGCAAATCAGACCCACTGAGAAGCTACACTGAGCTAAATAAACACATACATAAGAAGTCCCCAGTTATGAGTGCAAACCTAACAGTGAAAAGAAGGCAATATTTTGTTTGCTTACCCTTAACATTCATTATCAGCTGCAGAGAAATGGAAGAACTAAACTACAATCACTGAAGTTAGTGCTTAAAAGAAGTTCCTTTGTATTTGAAGTGTAATGCGACATATTAAATGTTCATTCTGAAGCAGTTATTTAGTGAACAGCAGACTAAGCCTGGATTTTAGCTCACTGTGCCTTTTGCAAGTTCCTACTGTTTAGTTTGTGGATGCAGCACCCTGCACAGGAAATACCTGCAAGAATTGAGACAAATCTAAGTATGGAGGGACTGCATAACGATGCATCTGTTTCCATGTTTCTATAATGCTTTCCTACAAGTAGATGAAGGCACCCTTGTGCTTTTGTGTTACTTGAAGCAAACCTTCAACATCCGTGAAGATAGCATTGTCCTCATCTACAACTTAAATGGTAGAAAACCAAGGGAACAATTAGATGCCAGACATATAGTCCTTCTGTAAAAAGGTCCTTCTTGTCTCTGTATCTGTCCTCTCCAACTCAACAGGATGCACAGCACATACTTAACTCTTTGGCTTCAGGTGAGCTATCTGATCACTTTCTACAGTCCTGCAGGAACTGGTGATGTACTTCTCACATATTTAAAAATAAGAATCACAATTTAACCTTTTCTTCCTTTTTCCAGTCTCATGTGGAGCTATTCATATAGGTCTTTTTCCTGTGAAATAGTAATTTGTAATGATAAACTTTTTTCGGTCAGTGCAGATATTTGTAACATTATTAGGACTGGGCTTGGTCCATATGGCTTCTTCTCTTTCATTTCATCATTTAATTTAATTTAATTTAATTTAATTTCATTTCATTTCATTTCATTTCATTTCATTTCATTGTTTATTTATTAATTTCATTTATGCAAAGTATTATTAGTCTAGTATTATTACTTTCCTTGTGAACCCTTATATTGTTGAATCTGACAACATACAGATGTTGCTGTGCACATTTTCAATAAATACAACAAAAATTCAGAACAGAAGTATACTGCACTAAAACTAAGCTGCTGTGACTGTCTCAAAAACTAAAGCTTGCTTTGACCAAGTTAACCTATTTCCTTTAGTTTTAATGGCTGAAGATTTTTAATTTAATTCCCATAACCTGTTAAAAATTTAAATGTACCTCCTGTTGGCTCTCACAGAGCCCATAAAACACCTTGAAAGTCCATCAAGACTTCTATAAAAAAAGAAAAAGCCAAAGTGGCTATTAAGCAGAGGAGAAGGGTTTTTATGGTTATGAGACTTACTGAATATAACCACAGTAGCAGAAGTTACACAACATCCACAGAAGATATCATTACCTGAATTCCACAAAATCAAAGTGATCCTTTGATCCATATCATTGATTGGGTTTTGGGGGGGGAAATTTGAATGTGATCAGAATGCTTTGGGAACACTACAGACCAAGAAGGTAGTAATTTGTTTGCTTCTCTCTACTTACTGATGCTGTTCTGGTAAAACTGCTGTCTGGAGCTACTGAGTTTACTGTAGCTTTTTCCAAGGCTTTGTCTCTGCTGTCCCCTGGTGCCCAGGAATTTTGCAGCAGAATGAAAATGAATGCTGCCTCCTTTAACAAATGAGCAATGCCGTGCTTTAGTGAAAGGGATTATTTTACAGAGTTCAAATCCTTCACAATTTTATAAATTTACAAATTCTGAGACAGACTTAATTCCCAATGAAATCAGTGAGTTGCGGATATTTTTATAATAATGCTCTTTCAATATCCGGACTTAGGCTTTAGCTTATGAATTCTGATTTCCTGTTTGCTACTGCTTTCTTCTTGATAACAATGTGGTAATTTTGTCTCATTACAATTATTTTTGAATTAGTTCTATCATATAATAGTACCTCCTTCCCTCCCCCATGCCACAGATGGGGAATTTCTCTGAGATGGCTAGGGATTAGGTTTGACCTGATGTTCCTGACTGTTAATTATACCTCAGTATTAACAAACTGAAAAGCTTCCCCATTAGAAAGATTCAGAAATAACCTATGTAACTGTGTTAACAGAATAATTGCAGTGCCAAATGTGAACAAATGTTTTTCTTGGAGTGGGATGCAGTAGGGTGGGAACAACTCAATACACTGCTCTGTGTGGGCGGCATCTCTTTCTCTAATACATGATTTTGTCCATGATTCACCATGAGTCATGCAAGGTAAGCTTGACAGCAGCTCAACCTCATTGTGAAGTACAGTACAACTGCATAATTTTAGCCTGAAGGGATTGATGTTTTCATAGTTTTTACATGGAGATTTTATTAATCTGGTTTTTGTTGTTATTGTTGGGCCAGATTTTGTTTTATGTAATTGAGGACTGTTTGCTGATAATGAACTATCAGGGGAGAGTTTTGGGTTGTTCATTTTGTCATTAATATATGTTAACAATCCTATACTATGCTTATGTGTTTCATAATTAAAGAACAGGAATTTCAGTCTTTCTGGAATGAATACAGGCTCTTCCAATTTCATCTTGAGTGAAGTCCACATGCTCTATAGAGACTTACCCCAGTTCACAGAGAACTGGTGTGGAAATTAGACAGAGCTGTGTAGAAACACCTCCCTCAGCACACCCTGCTGGATCCCACATGGTGTGGGAAAATGCTGCCCCCATGGTAGTTGTTCTAGGATTACTGTTCTCTGCCCTGAAACACTGGTAGAAAAATGTTTTAATGTCTTTGATTGACAGACATATAAAATTAGATTTTGCACATGCTTGGTGGTTACAGTGAGCACAGAGGAACAGGACCAAAGTGACAGGAGCTCAGAAATCCTGTCTGCTAGAACTAGACCTTGCCAGGGCCCATATGTGGTGGCAGTGGTGGTGGTATGGAGGATTTCCAAATTCCTGGGAGGAAGAGAGAACCTCTTCTTATGGAAAGGGTCAGCACTTCTTCCTAGACACCACCAGCAGTGTCTCCCAATTCTGTTTTCCAGACGAGCTGAAGGGGAGCCTGGTTGCTGGTGTGTGAGGTGCTGTGAGAGCTGTCTTCCACCAGGAAGGGTAAGTTGGGCCAGGGGCACTAGGACACGGATCTTTAGACTTTTCTGCGCTAAGGACTGCATTTTTAGTGATATGATTATTATTGTGCTATTTCTTGTCATTGAGAAAAGACTAAGTACACCTACTACAGATGAATTAATGTGATCCCAGAGGCCAACAGAACTAGCTGTGCTGCTGCTGAAAAGTTGTCAGACTAACTCAGTGATGCTCTGGAAGCCCAAACTTCCTATTCATTGTGGAATATTGAGGCAAAATGAACAAAACAACAACAGAAACACCTTTTAAAGGACTTAGATGTGTTCTGAAATAAAACCATTTACTGGGGAGCTCTAATACCTAAACAATAATGCACTGAATGAGGTTAAGGATGCTCCTAGTTATGGCTTCCAGAATTAGAGTTATTCTGAGTGGATGGGAGACTTCTGAGTTTTCTGACTGACCTGAATTTCAGCAACTAAGGCCTTGACTGGGACACAAACAGAAAATATCCCTGGCTGTTAGACTTTAATGCCCTTCTACTTCTCTGTGTTTAATATTCAGGATTAATGACTCTCACCTCCATACATAAATTGTGGTAAATTTCTTGGTGCTGAGGAGCACTGACAAGAGCAGTATTCAAATGCGTTTTTGTGAGTAGCTGCTATAAGCCTGTTTCTTAGCATCTAGGTGTAAAGAAATGTGGGTTTATCACTCTCATGTGTCTGTTATAAAGTTAAAAGCAGCAAATAACAAGTAGTTTACAGTGAATAAACACATCTTCATAGTATATCCACATGTTCAGTCACCCACCTGACCCTTTAAGAGGAGCATAAAGCAAATACATACTTGCAGCAGACACACCCATGTGGAGACTTAACTTCACTGTTGCTGTAGTCTACTGATCACATTATTCTGTGCAAATGAGTTGTAAAATAGGGAAAAGATGATTGTGGCCCTGTACCTCATGCACTCTGCAAAAGTGCAGTACAGAAGAAGAAACTGAATCCTTGGCCTGTCTTTAGTCACCTGGGCTTAGTGCAAGACACACAGGAAATCAATGAACAGACCCCGTGCCTAGATGAGACCTCTTTGTCTTCACTTTAGCAGAGAGAATATGGGTGTGACATGATGAATACAGAGACTTGAGAAGTATTCATAGGGAACGGCTAGAAGGAGAATCAGGAAGACTATTTCAATTATATATTATTTGCTGGAAAAGGAACTTTGAGATAAAAATGATTTTTTTAACTTTGCTTTTGTTTGTTAATCTTTATGCTGAACAAAACTCAGGGTAGGTGAGTGACTAATCTATTGATTCAAAGTTCAGCAATGGATTAAACATTTATGATATTCCAGCACAATAAATTATTAATCTTATTGAAGTATTTATAAGGTATCCTTAATACACTAAAGGATGCCATGGGTAAGGGGAAACGTCACAAAGGGACTTCCCAAAACATCTTTCAGGCATCCTCTGATCAGCGGAAAAGAAACCTGACCATTATGCCAGATCATTTGACTAAGGCTGGAACAGTATGAAACTTCAGTCTAAATTATTTTCTTATATTTAAAATATGTCAGGTGACTAAATGTAACTGCCTGTGGCATCTAACCACAGATGTGCCAAGAACTCTCTGCTACCAATTCGTCTCTGCTCACCACTGAGGGGCACCTGAGTGAAACAGCTCTGTTAGAAGTTCTACAGTGTGGTATAAATTATATGCAGAAATACTAAGTGAGCAGTGCTGACCAAAGATACTGTTTCTAAACTTGCTGGACTCCACATGAAGAAATATTATTTTATAGAAAATATTTCAAGTGCCTGAAACTTCACTAGAGTGATACACTGAATTTGCAGGAATTAAGGGAAGAGCCAATGACAGAACAGAGCAATAGGACTGTCAGCACATGGAAGGGAGAAGAGAGGGAACATCTAAGGTTCATCTGGAATAGCAGATCCACTGCACACACCATTTATTTGCAGCAGGAGTCAGAAGAGAAAAAGAAAACAGTATTGTAGACAAGAAACCGGGAGCTGGGATAGCTACAGCGGGATGGAAAACACATCTTTCCCAAATCTCTCCCCATTGCCAGGTAAAAGGCAGCTTGCAAAGTGCTTATTTGATTTGAATAGGCACTTCATAAGGGGATCAGAAGCCAAGGGTTAGTAAATTGCAATCAATAGCTAATGAGCAGAGAATGCCCCATTGCTGCTATTCTGGCTTCTGGTCCTTCCCAACAGCCAGGTTCTTGCCTGCAAACGGGTCCTGTAGGTGGGTCTGGTGGGCTGCTCCTTCGGTTTGCCTGCATATTGGGTCCTGTAGGCAGGTCCTTCTGCCTGCCTGCAGTCGGGATCCTGCGGGCAGCTCTTGCTGTTTGCCTGTGGGAAACAGTCTGGGTTTTTCTGTTTTTGTTTTTGTTCTTTAACTTAATCAGGCAAATCTCTTTTATGTCTCTATGCTGACCAACGCGGGCAGAGTTTTAAGCCTTTCAAAGACACCACAATCAAACCCAAATAAACTCAAACCAAACTTGACTAAGGCAGATGTAATAGCCTGTATAATAACAAACGAAAAAGTGTGAGAACAAGATACAGGAGGTAGATGACTTGTGCAGTTTTCAGAGCTTTAGTTGTCTGATTCTTTGTGGTGTAAATTATTCCTCAAAGGCTATGCCGCTAATATTGACAAGTGTCTGCTTACACAATTCTGTTGGATTGTAGAAAGGGAGCTGTCTTGCTGCTTGCTAGTGTCTTCAGTGGATTAAAGACTGGATCTGTGTGTGAAAGGCAATGACCACAAACACAAAAAGAATTTTAGACTAAGTTTTCATAATTTTTCTGGCCTGTTTGCACAGTTGCCTACTCTCTAGTGAAGTCAACTAAAAGAAAAAAAACCTCTGGCTTCCATGAATGTTTGGGCATTTCCAACCAAAGGTGAGCCCTTTTCATACCAGAGAGGTCATCTATCTTGGCTGAGTGCTTCTAAAATCTAATTCACTTAGTTGAGACAATGTGGCATCAAACTGAGTCAAAATATGAGGATATTTGAGTCAAAATACGAGGATATTTGAGTCAAAATATGAGGATATTACAGCACAGCATCTCCATGCACTGCTGCAACATGGAGGCAAATGATGGCAACTTGTGTGGCTTGAGTCTCATGGAGGAGAGGGGAGTGTGAAGTGTGATATCCTATCATGTGCTATATTTAGCCATCAGATGTTCTGCAATGCCTACAGAGGCAGGAATTACAAATTGACAGTGCTGAGGCTGATGATATATTGTGAGCACTTACAGTGAGTTCCATGTCTTCCTCATCTTTTTCTTTCACTGGCTTCTCTGGTTCTTCTGGATCTTTTTCTTGAAGATGGATCTCATTGGCCTGGGTCATGTAGGGCATATCATCTTTGTTCTTGAACTCCAAGCTGAGGATTGAAGGAGGAAGTAGAATTCCTAGAATTACCTAAAGCAATAATAATGATAACAATAATCATCACAGAAAACAGATTATGGTCATAATGGTTACTTAGCATCAAACAGAACAACTCTATTGGGAGATTTAGGAAAAGAAAGATACATGCACATGTGAGTTTCTATGACAATAAAGTATTTGTCATTGGGGGTAATGTTACCAGAGCACTGAATCAAAGCATGTGACTTCTACTAGTGCTGCTGTGAATGCTCTTGAATGTTTTATCTACTGCACATCACCAGGTGCGTAGTGATACATAATAGAATACATTTACAAAATATTATATAAGGTCAAAAGTAGGTGGGACCACGTGGGTGTACAGACCTACAAATGTCTGCATTTTACATAATACAAAACACCAGTATAAATGACGCACAGAGAGTATTTATTTCTACAGAGAGGGTTAATAGCTCTTTGTGTCCATGCTTAATGTACACTGGCAGTCAATGAAGTGCAACTGTGTGTGGATCTGAGGAGATAAGGCAAAGCCAGCAAAAGCAAATGCTGATGTGCAGTCTCCTTAGATTATGTTCCAGTAACAAGGCAGCTGTGTAATGGTCATGTTAATGTCAGCTCTTTCTTTTCTGCCTTCCCCCTCTTAGATGCTGGAGTGTAGAAACCACTAAAATTTCCTTTTCAGGATTTATATGTAATGAACAATGCTTGGGTTAAACCATTAGTACAACTGAATAGACATCACAGTAAAACAAAGCAAAGTCTGTATTCACAACCACAATAACTTCTCCTGGTTATGCTGCAATTTGATGGAGAATGATTTTCATTGATAAATCTCTCCCTGAAAGAGAGTAAAACCAGATAGTTAACTACTTGGCAGGTTAGAGAGGATGCTTGTGATCATCATATCAGCAGACAGCTTGTTGAAACCATTCAAAGTACACAATGAGGAGCAGGTAGGGTGTGCAAATGCTGCACTTAGCCTTGGAAAAGCTTCCTGCACTGTGCTGTGCTCACCAAATGATGGGTCCAGGGAGAGGGGGTTACAGGCAGACCTGGCTTCACAGAAAGGCTATTTTTAAGAGCAGCTAGGATTAACAGCTGCCCCTAGGCCTTCCATTGGTGCCATACATTCCTAGCAAGAATCTAAATAATTATATTCAAACTTTCTACCATTTGTCAGTTTCAAAGGGAAAAACTGTTCTTGGGAAATAAACCATGACTCATGCTTGCAAATTTATTTCTTTGTCATGCTGCCTCATGTAGCTTGTAGCCTTCTCTAGCTTTAAACAAGCTCTGCTAATGAGCTTCATTGAAATAAAATACAGACTAGAAACTGAGTAAAGGATCCTTGTGAAGCCCTGATGTTAGAAGAAGCTGAAACAGAGCCTGTTACCTTCAGTTATGCGTTATGAAAGAAAGGTCTATTTCAGGGCTTAAGAAATGTGCTGAAAAGTGGAATGCATGTAGCGGGAAATCAGTTGCTACACTGTCCTCCATGTACCTAGACTGAATTTCTGCAAAGCTAAACAGGCTGTCCCTTTGAAGGATAATAGGCCTGTGAGTTCAGGAAATAGGTAGGAATGTCTCCAAATATGAGAAAGTTTTCTATCTGCAGCAGAACAATGTGTATGCACAGGTCCTGCATAGGATTGCTATCAACCACTTGCTCTCACTCATCAGTGTCACTGGATTAAGGGCCTGTCTGGAAGCAATGTGCATACTCCTAAGCACTCTTGCCATTACTGAACATCTTTTCACAGGGCAACACAGTTGAGTAATTACCAATTTTCACACAGGCAATTAGTGCAGAAGAGAGAATCCCTTCACTGAAAATATTTCTCTGTGATCTGGGAGGGAGAGGCAATTGCTGGGTATGTTCTGACTGCTGACTGCTTTGGTGAAACATGCCAGGGACTCAAATTCATCTCAGAATTCACTTTGCACTGTTAGCAGTTTTGTCAACTGTGGAAGTAAAGCTGTAACAGCTTTGAAAACTAAATTATCCTTTAAACCCTCTAAAGGAGTCCCTTCAGATGCCATCAGGAAGATTTGCAAGGGTTTGTGAGGAAATTTGTGCTGCTTACTTTGCCTCTTCTGGGAAAGGTTGTCAGATCAGCACCTTTCACTAATGGTTAATTCACTTATACTTCCTTTTCCTTTATTTATCTTTAAAACTCTTGACTAACTCCACAAGTATACAGGCAGGATGACACACTAACCTTCTAGCTCAATTCTTGTTCTGATAAATGATGCCAGAGAGGACTTTAAGAACGCAAATGAAAAAATCTAAGCTGTGTGCTTTGAACTTAGGCTTACGATGAGCCCCATCTGAAAAACTGAGCACAGGAAGAATATACCATGCTTAATATCACTGCAAATAAATATCTGAAATACGGTTACTTTAGACAGTTATTACTGATTTTTTGTGAACCGTGTCACCATCTATTAGAATCCTCTGAATGTTAATTTTATTTTAAAACAGGAATGACCTTTAGGCCAGAATTTTTTCGCATCCGGAGACGACCCATCCACATGTCAGTGAGCAGCATCTGGCTGCAAGTGTGAGCGATGAAGTCCCTGTGCTTGGCTGCCACTGCAAGCTGCAGGCATGTGGCGTTGCTCCAGTTCTTCAGCTCATAGGTCAGCAGTTTCATGGCCAGCTGCTCGTCCTGCTTGTATGACTGGTCCAGCAGCTCGACCGCCAGCTGGCCGAAGTCCCTGCAACAGAGGGACACAGAGGGACACAGAGGGACCCCGCTCACTCCGTGGGCACACACAGCCCCGTGCTCAGAACGTGCCTCTGCCAGGGGCACGGCGCCTTCCGGCACGCAAATCAACGTGATGTTGACTCAACACACGGAAACCCACGGTTTCAAATGTGAGTGGCTCATGTCAGGCATATAAATAAGTGCCCCAGCTTAGCAGCGATGAGCACCCACACCCACCAGCTGTCTGCTCCCACCTCCCTGCCCACCTCCCTGACATTTTCGAACTGAAACCCTCTGGTTATCTGCAGCTTAAGGGATGGCTTCTCTGCTGTTTGCCCACAGCTTCATGGTCAAGCCTCCTGGAAGAAGTGTCCAATATCCTTCCTCAAATCCTAAATTTCTGAAATTTTAACATCAGGAAAAATTCTTATGAAACCTAGAATCTCGCCTTGTTCATCTAAGCATGACCTCTTGGTTAATTAACACTTCTGCCTGAATACTTTGCTCATAAAGATTTCAATAACTGTTCTGCTGGGCAGGTACAGAGTATCCTGAAAAAGCACAGAGAAATGTTGCAGTCTGACTCTTGAGGCTGCAGGGAGAACACATGAACAATATAGATATTTCACTGTCTTCTTGACAGCTTTTCATTTCAGAAGTTATGCTGCTAACAACTTTGCTACTCTGGCAGACAGACTGTTTAAAAGCCATTTGGATTTTCTCTAAAGGGACTGCGCTTCCGCTACAAGTTAGAAATTAAAGCAAGCTACAAATAAGAAAATTTTAGGAAGGTCCAGAAATCTCTCTTTCCTCCTTTTTTTTTTCTTCCCCCCTCAGGAAAGTGTACTCTAAAGGAAATTCACCTGGAATTGTGGTTCAGCTCTTGGGATATGTCATCCACCATGTCATTTTCTGATGCCTCGTGGGCCATGGCTTTGCAGAGTTTGCAGGCCACCAGAGCTTTAGCCATAGCCTCTTCCCCGTGTTGCCAAAAGAAGAGGGCCATCTTCTGACGTTTCATCAGCACAGCCCACACCATCAGCTCGTGGAATGGGAACGGAAAGTGATTGATCTCAGGGTCATCCATATCAATATCAACTTCTTCTTCTTTTTTCTTTGTTGGTTTTCTGCCTCGACGCAAAGGGACATCATCCTGTGGGAATTGTAGAGATTTTTTTTTCATCAATGAAGGAACAGTTCATGCAATTCATTGAAACCAGTACCTAACATGTTTCCTGCAGGCCAGCCCATTCATAATTTTTTGGACAAAATATTTAACATAGGTAAACAATAAAAAAGGTATTGGTGCATGCACTGTAATTAGAAGACAGTAAACAGGGGAACAGAGCCTTGGACTATCACCCTGAATCAATAACATTATCACTTGAAACTAATAACATAGAGCACAATCACACAATATCCAGAACTATTTTGGAAAATCCACCATTAAAATAAAGGTAAGAGCTCACTGCAAATGTAACATCTGCTGTAACGCATCTGCCTCTTTCCACCTCCAGAAAGTACATATCCAGGGGATTTTCTAATCTGCTGAGGACTCCTTCTATGCTTATTCTTGTGTTTTCTCCCTTTATCACCTTACAAAACTAGCAATTTCCCTTCTTTACTCCTATTCTGTGTGTTTATTCCTTTCTTCTCCATCCATTTGTTGCTTCTGATGCCTTTAGTTTCTTTCCCATTTTAGCCTTTTGCTTTTATCAGGTGTGCTGACCTATTCTGTCCTATGTCTATGGATGGAAAAATGAAAGTGGTTGTATAAAATAAAAAAACATGAAAATACTACCATACCCTTGCAGCATCAGGGTAGCCAAATGTGCCAATAAAACTGAGATAACTTTGGATGTCTTCCTATAAAGATTTCTGCATCATTCTCTGCAAGTGTTTCATTTCTCTGAATATGTTTTGAAGTTAGATGCTATCTGACTGAAATTCTGCTTGCCCTGCTGGACCGAAACACTTTGTTTAATTCTTATTAAACAAAAAAACAAGAAGATCTATGGCGGGGGCAGAGCCCTCTTTTTCCTTAGCTATCTCCTGGACTTTAATTAAGAAATGTTTCTTAATCTGCCCCTTGTGTAAACCAACTATCTGGATGAAAATACTAGTCATATTTTCATTACATTGAATTTGAACATCATTTAGATATAGTTTATATTTATCAAAGAAGGAAAAGACATTAAGATTTGTCAGAGGTTGCCTACCTCCATTCCCAACAGCTTCAGAGCTTTTGGCTGTACAAAAAAAAAATTAGAAAAAATGTTATTTCTCAGAGAATAGTGATGAAAAACTACAGCTATTTGTGTATACATATACATATACATACACATGCATGTAGAGTGATGTAGAATATACAATAAAATTTAGTAATAATAATAATAATGATGAAAATATAGAAAATAAAATGTACTGCAATAGCATATATATACATACACCAATCAAATGATTGCATGCATATATATATATATACACATATACTAATCATATTATACACATACAGTAATCAAATATGCAGTTATTTCAAACTTGAGTTTCACATTATTTCACCAAAACCACATCAGAAGACATATATTTGGATTCAGGTAAAAATTACAACTGGTTAGGGCTGTTCTAGCAAGAAAGTGATAGGGACCACTGATAAGGTATCATTGGATTTCTCTGGAGTACATCAGCATTTTGGCCACTGCCATGGAACACTTTTATTGACTCTTGTGGAGCCCTCTGTGTGTTGGTTCAGTTTGGTGAAATCACTGCTCAAATGCTTTTGTCAATGGAGTGACTTTGGGAAGGAATTCTCTCCCACCAGCTACAATCACTGTCTTTCCTTTCAAATGTGAAGAATCTTAAGGACAAGCATATGGAAACAAATAAGCCCATTTTAGGTAGCTGTCTGCAAGCTTTTCACAGAGCTGTTGCTATTTATAGCGATTTATTAATACTTTCATTGTTGTGTATTGCTAAAATCTGAAATGTGAGGCAAAAGTAGGCAAAGAAGGAACTGGGAGGAACTGGGAGTCATTCTGGGAGGAGCTGAACAGACTCCTGTTCATGGTGAACTGGGTCAATGGCAATATGGATGATAATTAATAGTTTTTGTGTTTTAGAAAGACTTTGTATTCACTTATCAAACAAGGAACCCACAAAAATCACAAAAATACTTAACAATGGTGTTGCCATGAACCCAATGACCGCTGGAGCCACATCCAAAAAACAAAACATGTTTTGAGTTATGGGTTTCTTTGCCTTGAAACCTTCAGATCACAATCAGAAGATGAGCCCTGAGATAGGAAATGCGTCTAACAATGCAGAAGTTTTCAAATCTAACTCAGGAGTTAGAATTACAGTATTATTAGTTTAGGTCAAAAGACTTGCCTTTCAAAAGCTGTGAATACTCATAATTACAGGTTTTAGAGTCAGAGGAGACTGTTTTATGTGCTGGTTTCTGCAGGGCAGCTGAATGAAATATTTTTTTCATTAAATTTATAAAAACCATAGCTTGTATCAGTGTCTGGCTTGTGATGCATTATGGTGAGATAATAGCAATGCACATAATGGAAATGAATCTGGACCCCACCAGTCTGGAACCATCTAAGATGCTATGGTAATCCCTGCCAGTTGGTACAGTCCTGAGGATGGCAAGCAGCTTGTTTCTTACCCTCTTGGGCCCGAACAAGTTGTGGTACAGTGTTCTGAACCGCTTTCGGGTGTAATTGCAGCGGTACGCTCCTCCCATCAGGTACTCTATCACCAACCCAATATCAATCAGACTTATCCGGTAATCAGGAGGTAAGTTTCCCTGCAGTGAAAATAAGGATGATGGAAAAAGAAATTCTCATTACTGACATTGTTAAATGTACTTTAAAATGGACTTAGAATAAAACAAATTAAATAGGTAAAAGCAGGAATGTATTATTATGCTGGTTAATTAATTCACCTTAAAATAGATCCAACCGAAACCTGGATATTCTCGCTTGGAAAGAAGACATAAGTTAAATAAGAAGGTGAAGAACTTGTTGGAAGTAACAGAAGATAACGTCAGTACACAGTACTCATATTCTTCAGCTGGGGAAACAAGGAACATGACTGCAGAAACAAAAGCATGAGGATCGGTACACTTGAAAAGTCAGGCACAATTGCTGGACTCTAGTTCTGCAAGATAGCACTTTTCCTGCACCAGCTCTCACCCACAACTCATCCTGGCACCTCGATCTCTGCTGGCATCTCTCTGGACTGCCTATTCTGAACTGTCAAGGCATGTGAAGCAACATCACACAAAATCTTTTGTTCACATGGGACCAATTCCTTCCCATGCTGCAGTGTTTCCTTCCCATGTTCCAGGAAAGGAAGAGCAGGAGGTAAGATTGGTGTTACAGCTCTGAAGGAGTTACACAGGACATGAGCTATCATTATTACTAGTTGCTAGGGGAAAGGAGAGTCTATCAGCATTCAGTCTTGGAGTTGTGTTCAAAGAATACACACCCTTGCTTAAGTTTCACACCAAGAATGAGGAAAGCATCTGTATGTATGAAAGCTGTAATAAACAAAATACCTATGTGGCTAATTATTTTGGGGTTTTCTTATGAAGAAAACTAAAGGCCTAGAAATTTTTTGACATATTCTCTGAGTTCCTTACATATTTTACTAAAAGCCCTTTTAAACACATTATCTAGTTATGTAATTTCCAGCAGAGCCATGGAGATTTTCTCACAAGAAATGAACTGAGTTTGTGCTAAGGGTCATTAGCAGGATCCTGGAAAAGATGCCTACATACTTCTCCTTTCATTTCTTTTCCTCTCCTACCCTCTGTTAGATATTTCTATATACCTATATCTAAATAGATATATGTGTGTATGTGTATGTCAATGTATATCTATATGCCTGTGTGTATGTATGTGTATATGATGTCTTCAGCGTGTACTTTTTAACTTGAAAGGATACAGAATGACAAATACGTCCACATCTTACTGTCCTTTTTATGGGAACTCCCTTGCACACATCTTCCTACTCTTCACTTTCAAATCTGAAAATGGCATCACTAAGGTTATGAGCTCCCCAGTGCTTGGGGGTTGCAAAACTATGAAGAATGATTTCAGTAACAGATTGTCTCCTACTGCATATAAATTAACTCTGAGTTAATGGGCCATTTCTATTCTCTAGTTGCACTGAACCCAACGGGACATCTTGTATGCTGAACAATTTCAGGCTGAGCTGCACTCACAGATGTGCCAGTCAAGTCTCTGGGGGAGTCTCTGGCAATGGAGGAACAAAACCCCAGTGTGGGCACACCTGCTCTTCTATTCTCTTCAGAAAAATCTACACAAGGTAAACTCTGACCCCTTTACAGGAGGAAAGGACTAATGGGAAGGGAATGAACCCAAAGGAAGGTTTACCTCCTTCTCTAACTCTCTGCTTCTGAGTTGACTGGATGAGAGGTCTTGTTTCAGTAAGCATTCCCTACCAAAAAAGAAGGGATGATTCAGGAAATTGTGAATAGATCACCTGGCTCTAGAGACCTCACCAAGAAACCTTTCAGATTTAGAGAACCCTCTCTGTTCTGCATGTCACTGTGCAAAAGAAATGACTACAAGATAAAGGTGGAGAGACAAATTATCCTTCTGTGTACTGTGAACAGTAGCCTTGAAAAAAAGGAATATTACTCTAATAAAAAATTGTCTCATATAGCCAATATTGCAGAAGGACCAGAAATTGTAACTCTTCAAAGCTTCAAAATTTTTCAGTGCACTGTAATAATCTATTGTTCTATAATGATATACAGTACAGATTACAGTGAGCCTGTAGCTTATTTAATGTGTTCATTAGGAGAAGGTTAGTAATTCACATGGAGCAATTTTATGACTATCATGTCTTGCTTGAAATATCTGCATGTCTGGAGATATCTGCCTGGCTTCTCTGGAGATGTTCTTATTAGATTACAGCAGAGAATCACTAATGGAGAGCAGATGTCTACTGGTTCTGCAGAAGAGAAAAAATGGATGCAAAGATCCTCCTTCCTTTTAGACTTCAGCCATGAAGGACAAGGCTTATTTCCTGCCCTGCTACCATGGTGCAAGCAGCATGCTGCAAAGGCTGAGGAAGGAGAGAGGGAGGTTGTGCTTTCATAGTGTACCATGCCCAGCAATCAGCTGGCATTCAAAGGGACAAAAAATCAAGCAAATTTACTGGAAAAAATGGAGCTGCCAGTAATTTTCAAGTAATGTCCTCCAGCATATCTTTTTGCAACCTTCCTAATCTTGTTTAATTTGATGAGTGGGGCAATTACTATAGTTGGCAAGAATGTGTATTAGCTTAGATAATTTGGACATGGTAACGTTTATGCTGAACAGTTTAAGAAAGGTAACATCTAAAAATTAAATGAAAAATAAACCTAAAAAATTATATTTCAAAAAGTAAATTCTGCTAGGTTTGGTTGGTTTTCCCCCTAAAATGTTCTTGTCTTCCCAGAATGTATAAGAGGATAATTCTACTAGAGCAAGGATGAAAGGATTAGCAGAAATGGGAGTTGCACCTCCAAGGCAGGACTCCTTCCAACTTAAGGTCTTCACTCAAACTGAAGGCTTTAATGTTATTAAGTGGCAAAAAACATTTGAGCAGTTAAAGAACAACAGGCATCAGGGTGCTATACGTCTTATAAAGCTGAGTTTCTTGACACAGTTTTGATTTCTAAATTTTCATGAAAGATTTAGATAGAAAGATTCCAGTAAAATAACTTTGATAAAAGATGCATCTAAACCTCCCAGATAATACTGAAACACTTCACTAAAGAAAACTCCCAAATCCACAGGAAAAATACGCACTTCATAAACATTCCTTTTCCAAAGTGTGATACCCTAGTAAAGAAGACTGGACCATCCTTGTGACAGGAGTTACACACATTCCAAAGCACTTGCTCTGTCAGCAGACAGCTTGAACCACCCTGGCAGTGCTAAGAATGCTTGTAAATGAAACACAGTGGTGCAAGTGGGACAGAACTGCCCCAAGAACAACAAGAATTTGGATGAACTAATTCTAGTGCAGTCTAGGTGGTCAAGAATAATCAAGGAAAAAGTTTGATTTTGAGCTAAGATTGTTGTTCTGGTTAATAATCAACAAATCTTTTAATGCTGGGACAAACTCTTCAGTGTTAATGCACAATTCTTCTCCTGAAGAAATTTCAGGTTTAAAGTGTAGCTAGTCAGTTGTAGTACTTTTTTCACTTCAAGTGCATTTCTGTGTCACCATGTATCAAACCTCTGAGTCTGCATGCTGAGAAAGAAATAATACTGCCAAAATTCTATATATTGCTAGTTTGTTCTTTGGAAGTGCAGATGTGCAGAAGCAGTCCAAAAAAACCCCAACTTTGGAAATGTAAATAATCCTGAAGTGGAATTGAGATCTGTTAATTATATACAATGTTTTGGATAAATGAAAAAAAAAAATCTATCTATTAGTTACTACTGATCTTCATCAGCTAGTTGAGGCAGGGAAGGATTTTAATTTTTTTAAATTCATAGAGGGCAACCTCCACTTGCAGACAGGGTGTCCAGGAGAGCCACTGTGTGATTCTTTCTGCTTAGATTGGGTACATTCCTGTATATGGTCTATGGAAGGAAGCCAAAGTTAAGTTTGAAATCCTGGACCCTTGACAGGAGATGGCAAAATGGCCATGAGGCCAAAAGTGCAGGCAGGTTGGCCCTGCTATGTAGCTGTGAAATTGAGAGGACTGAAAGGTGATCTGAAGCAGAGTCATTACGACATAATTTGTCTTGTTAATACATGCAAAATTAATGCACATTCAGATTATTGTAGATTCTTTCAGATTTTATCTCCAGGCCTTTACAGTATGCTGCCTAGGCTATCAGTCTTCACAGCAGTATTTGGAAAACCAAAGGGAAAATACATTGTTGTATTATATGTTTTGTGTGCACATGTGTGTCTACAGGCTGCCATAAATGGAATGTGATAATATGACTTCTGTTGTTCTCATTATTTGCTTTATGAAGCAGGCAAGATTGTTTTTCAAACAAAACAAAGCAAAACAAAACAAAACAAAACAAAACATAACAAAACAATACTCTCCTACTGATTTACACAGCTATATAGTACAACAGTAGTAAATTACTGCTCCTATGATTTTTAATATCCATTCTCTATCTGAGAATCCACAATGCTCAAGATGCAAGTTTTTTAGCATACACCGTTTTAAACAGTGCAGGTTTTAAAACTGAGAGGTACATGTAAATGCACAGTGTATTTCATATCAATTAGGTATTGTCTCAAGGTGGTATAGTACATACTTTGGTATTTATATTCTGTGACGCTGTAATTAAATCTGAGAGGTTAGGTGTGTGGCATCAAAATATACATGAACTCAAAAAACTAGCAACAGCAGTGTGGTCTGTCTTGCATGCATGATGGGCCATCAAATTGTCAAATGGTGATGTGTCCATTAAGAAGTTTTTTCCAAAGAGGTGTTTTCATTTAAACTGTTGTCGGATCTGAGGACTGATTTATGCTTGGTTGATTGGTAAGGGATCTGCTCAGCTGTCAGGGCTATAGTGAGCTGCCACCTCTCGTTATGAAACCTGGCTGTTCTTCATCCTGGACAAAATGAGAAATAGAGCCCCAGAGGTCCAGTTTTCTTCAGGAAGGTGCTAAAGAGCCATACCAGACTGTCTGTTTTCAAAGCCCTCACCTATGCTCATAAGACTGATTCAATATAGTTGGAATTAATGAAGATTTTAGATATTGACAGAGGAAAGAAAGATAAATTTATCGAAAGATAACCATCACTTACTAGTTAGAAATCACTATGGAACAAATAATGTCATCAAATATAGTGTAAGTTTATTCAGTGTCTATTCATATACATCCATGAGTACTGATCATCTTTGACTACTTTGATGCCTTTTCTTTCAAGAGTTTCTTTAAACATACATATTTAGTTAGGGCCTCAGAAGAAAGAGATACATATTATTTAGTTACTCAACATACAATTTGCTATGCCTTTGAAGAAGATCTTGGAAAGGTGACTCTGGTGAAGAGAAGGCATTTGGAAAAAAAGTAGAAGACAAATCATGCTTCTTTCAAATTAATAAAGGCACATAAATAACTGCATATTGAGTAATAAAATATTCTGGAAACTTCAGCTTCAAGAGCAGTATCCATTCTAAATAGATTCTAGCTTCACTCTGCTCAGTCCAAGGGGATTTGTGCATACTTTCTTTTTGTAGGCATTTCACACTTTTCAATGGTCACTTAATACCCTATACATAATTGGACAATGATGATGCAATTTAACACACCAACCAAAGAATACCACCAGAACCTTCCTAACATGCTACTGATTACTCTGTAAAATTACTTAGGAAAAAGGTGCTATATGACACAATACTACTCTCCTCTCTTAGGTGGCTTCAATTCTGTCACTGTCAGAAAAAAACACAAAACCCTGTGCTCTTAGAAAAAATATCCTCTCCTTTTAAAATTTTCTATCTAGTTCCATGTACAGAGATATCCTTTCTCAAGTATGCTATCCTTGAGGTCGGACTTACATAATGTGCAAGGTTGTAATCCGCACATGCTCTGGGGGAATACTCAAGTTGATGAGGTCATTTGCAGACTCAATCTCCTTACTTGATCCATATATTTAAAGGATAAGGGATTTTTATTCCTTGCAGCCACTGTAACTCTTTTAATCCTGAGCACATTGGTAAAGGTATTTCCTGCCACTAGACCTTTCAGTATTTCCGTCCAGCTCTTCTAATAGATTTTTATAATTCAAGATTCTTGAAATTAACATGATAAGGGTCAGGGGGAACTTGCACTGCTAATTTTTATATTCTGCTGAGGAAGATAGCTAAAATGTACCACACAATACAGAATGAGGAACTGTTCCAAAAAGCCAGGATCCAGCACAAGGGTAATAGCTATTTTACAGGCTTGGAAGTAAACTAGCAACACAGAAAGTAGCTTAGACAACAGCTGCAGGTATGGAAAAATACAAGTAACAGCATAAATCCACACAGTATGTAAGAGCCTACAATTATGGCAGCAGACACACTATTACTCAAGCGTCTAAAACCACAGAGAAAGCAAGCCAAATAACTTGCTAATTGTGCTTTGTATGCAAAAAGTTCATATTTGGAGCACACAAACAGGACATTCTGTACTGGCAGGAAGGAGAAGGCTCTGACTGAAAGCTCATGCAGAACAGAGATTGTATCTAGCTACGAAAAACCAATAACATTCTTTTCAACCTACCGTCTGTTGGACTCACCTTTTTCACATCCCTGACTAGATGATGCAGAGTGTTGGATGGTCCGTGTCTCTGCAAAGGACAAATGAAGAAGAACAAAATAGTTTGCACAAAATATAAATGTTGAGATAACTTTCTCACTTTGCTGGTTTAGAAATCAGGCAGCTGAGAGCACTTCAATTGTACAGTGTTATCAATTAAAAAAAACCCCAAACAATTACAAGAGCATTATTTCACCTGTTTTTCTCTTTTGTAGAAAACTCTTCCTTCAGAAAACCCTGTAACTGCCACAGTGGATGAAAATGGAAGTCCTATATATTGGGTTAGGCTCCTGGCTTAGAAAAACCAGTAGCACAGCACAGCCTCTGGGAAAGAGTAGAAGCAAAACCAACTGCTTTAGTCTTAGCCTTCCTGCACTCAGGACCTCCAGTTCCACCGCTGGTGGTTCAGAAGCACTCTGAGCCTGGCATTGCATTGAGGCTGTCTCATCTGAAAGCTGCTCCCTCTGAATGCACATGCATGTGAATGCAGAATGCAAGGTCTGTGAATTTTTCCAATCTCCTTTTGACTCCAGCTGTCATTGCAAAAATATTCTGCAGAGGAGTCCCGCAATTTTGAATTTTGATCATACTACTACTACTACTACTACTACTATTATTACATCTTACTTTATTTTCTGCTTTGTTTTGACTGTTGCTAATATTTTAAGAGACTTTTATGAGAGGTCTCCTTGGTTGTAGCTGATATGGATGAGACCACTACACATGTGTAGAGTCGATGTTTCCGTATGTTCCGTATGTGCATTGCTCTGCACTTCCCCAACACTTAATTTTATGTAATCCCATCTCTGAGCATGATGAGACTTACCTGTGATTCTTCATATGCTGCTTCAGATTTTCTAAAACACCTGCAAATATTACTGTCTCTTCTGTAGGTACTATTTTTCAGATCTTACATAAACAAACTGAACAGAGTCTTCCAGAGTCTTCCATGACCCTGGTCATAATGTCCTTTTGTGGTAAAAATGGACCATGTTTTCCCTCTCCCTGTTTTTAGCATTCAAGTAGGTTTTAAACCAAAATTGTCCCTGATCTTCTAAACCATGGCAGCTACATTTCTTTAATAACCTTTGAAATTTTAAAATGCTGTCAAAGTTTTGCAAAAATAAAAGATGGAACCAAGTGCAACATTCTTATTCTCGTGCATGCTGATTGCAGAAATAGATTTCTAAGGCTTAACGTTTTCCTATAGAAGCTTGATAAACTCTTTGTTGACATAAAATTGATTCCCTTGCCTGTAGTTCTGTACTTCATTCTATTTTTACAAATTTGCCATAGCAGAGGTAAGATTCACTGGTTTGTAGCTTCACAGGTCATTCCTAAGTCTTATGCTGAAATATGGTCATTTTTAACTGGCCATGTAATTTTTTTTGAGGCTAAGGCAACTATGGATGCATTTGGTCATATAGTATAATTGGTAGTTCAGGCATTTCAGAGCCTGGGTCTTTTGGAATTTGTGCATGAAAAAATGTATGCTGATTTCTATAGCAATAAATTTGTTCAAAAAGTCCTTCTTTTAGCTGTGGAACTGAAGACTTCTGTCCAACTTATTCCCTGTAAAAACTGGCTTTTGCACAAGAACTACCATACTTATCCCTGTTACAAGGAAGCTCATAGGCATTCTGTTCTTAATACATAGATGCCAGTCAATAGGCAAAATGTAAGCTGACCAAAGTTCAGATGGGAGTTTGTCTCTAGGGTAGCTCATATGTACCCTATATATATATATACATACATACATACATACATATCTATCTATCTATCTATCTATCTATCTATCTATCTATCTATCCCTGTCCCTCCCTATTTTGCCCAAATTTAATGAATCCTTTATGAATATTTGATATTTTGCAAGACTGACATCTGGTCACCAGCAGTGTGATGCACATCCAGACAACAGTCCAGTGCAGCAGCTTATGACAGCAAAAACTGGGAATTCTACCAACTAGATTGGCCTTGAAGACTTTTTTTCATTACACATAAGAAGTTTGAACTTTCTGAACTACTACCTAAGTAAATAATAAAACCGTGAATGCTGGAATGTATTTTGCATTTGAGAATTCAGAAGCAGACTTAATTTGTGCAGTTTTATATTCACTTTAATTGTAAGGATTAAAAACTTTCAAACATTTTTTTAAAAGTCAAAGGTCTAAGCTTTGGAACTCAGTAGGGGCATGGGGAAACCCTTCATTGTAAGAGAGACTGATTAAGAGTTGGAAGATTTTTCTGAAACCATATTGTCAGGAGTCATATAACACCACTGTATCAGTCCTAAATTGCCAGTGACCGTCTTCCAGCCAGTACTACCTGCCTAAATCTTAGGTTTGTCATATTGGAATTACAATGACAAGAAATTAGCTGGCACTGTGTGAAGTTCATTTTATGTCTTTACAAAATCCATACAGCAGATTATGTGGACAAGGCACAGCATGTTACACTATATGAGAGACAAGCAAGAGAGACAATATGGACTAATGAAAACTTTCTGCAGCAGGTGTTGACTGCCTGATGCATCATCATCATGCCATTACAATACAAGTGGGAGCTAGAACAGTGAATATAGAGACAGAAAATTTGCCTTAGGCTGGCCCTACCGTATTGTACAATTCCTCTAGCCGGGAGATGGTGAGAAAACGATGCATGCTTACTCCATTTTCTATGAGTAATTTCACAAAATCCACTCTGTCCAACACCAGTGCATCCAGCATTGCTTGCTCAAGGGAGCCCACCTGCAAAGCAAGCGATTAATTGAAGCTGTTCCTGGGCGTGGCAGGCTACACCCAGCTGGTTCAGTCACTCCAGCACAAGCAGAGGGACTGACAAAATTCTGAGGGTTTCTCTTCTAGGCTTGAAATGGGATAATCACGGTTTTAATCTGTAACAATTTTTCTAATTCAGGGCTGCATTACAAAAAGGAATATTGGAGTGCTGGTTAAAATACTCTAGGAAAAATTGTTTAGGACAAAGGAACTGGAATCCAGTAAACTGGAGACCATATCTCTACCTTCACCATGTCATTATTATCATTATTTCTTTTCCTGTTAAACATTTTATTTATATTAGATACACTTGTTACGTGCACACGTAATCACTTTAATTCTGTCTTTTCTGGAGTTTTCTTTTGTTTGTGATATGGAACCTCAGGGAAATTTGAATACCAAGGAAACAGAAATAGCTTCATAATTTGCATTCCTTTGAAGGCCCAAATGCAAGAGGTCTTCTTACACAAAACCTCTCCTTCTTAACTCCTGGAGGTCAGGCAGAATTAGAAGGATGAGAAATTATCTCATCCTTCCAGCTTTTAGCTTCCAAAATGTTTGCAGTTTGCAGAATCTATTCAAATTTTTGCTATGATGTGGTGATGAAGAGATAACAATGAAGACAGTTCAATGCCATTATAATCCCTCCTGTGTTTTGACACCTACTTATGCCCAATATCAAAGACAAAATAAATAGTCCTGCTCACTCCATGACTGAAAAGGCAAGGATTTTTTACTAGCTTTTAGGGGTAGCAAGCTGTAGAAAGCTACATTTAAAGCAAGGATACTTAAACAGAAGCTTTTCCCATTGTTATAATTTTTTCCATTGGGAATTGTAAATGCTCATGTAATGATAGCATGTGAAATTTTAATGACAGTGATGAAACAAGTGTCACAGCAGTGACTAATCTGGTCCAGTTGAAACTCCTGACTGAATAAGTTGGACTTTAAGGAGATACAGGTAAGGATGTAGACCTTCCTTTTTTTTTTTTTTTTTTTTTTTTTTTTTTTTTTTTTTTTTTTGTGCGTGACTTCTGCACCTGTAAAAGCTGTAGCACAGTCAAGGAGTTGACTCTTCCTCCTCTGCCTGACAGACTATTCAATAACTCCTCTATTTACAGTCCTCCCTCTCCTGAAGAGAATCCACACCCCTGGTGCTCCCTGAGAATGGTATTAGCCAGCGCAATAAATAGGTATGATTCGTGCTGATAAAAATTGAAACAGTAATTGATTTTGATACAGTAATTAATATTTGAGAATAACAAATAGTTAAAAAGTTGTAACACCAAAAGAAGAGAGGGAGAGGAGGGGCTCCATCCTCCACTTCTCAGCATATCTTCTCAAGGACCACAGGAAAGAAGCCAAAGATACAGCTGCTAAAAATGAGCAGGAACCTGGTTGGGTCCAAGGAAATGCTAATTATAAGGGACTTATTGCTTTGATGTGTAGATGCAGTGATATGTTAGTCTTGGCTTACATTGTACTGGCTTGGTGCGCATGTGTAACCCAAAGGTGAATTAAAGGACAACGAAGAAGACTGCAGGGCCTTCATCAGTGACGACCCCCAAAGACTTGTGCGACCACCAAACCGAGTGGTGGCGCATGCGTGATGAGGGTGGTAATGAGGGCGGAGACAGAAAAGTGACGAACTGAAAATAGGAGGAGATGGCATTGACACATGGCATATAAGGGGTGACTTTCACTTGGCAAGTTTGTACATGAGGTGGCAAGGGTCATTGAACTCTGCCCTCCATACCCCGCGGTTGTTTTTGCTTATGCGCTATTATTGGAACCAAATTATCCCTTATTTTAATCGAATTATATTGTATCCAATTTTATATTTTTTTCATTTTAACTATTCAATTAAAATTGTTACTACTTTTAATATTTTTGGGCTTTTTTATGATGGGATAATTGGGCAAACAAAACACCAGGGAGGAACTGGAGCACAGGGCGGTGCAGATGTAGAGCAGGCAGATCGATGCAGAGCAGCAGTGGGAGCAGAATTAACACCACCAGAGGTCTGGAGCCACAGCCCATTCCTGGTGACACTGCTGACCAGCTCCTGCAGTCTACCTGACCTCCAACATTTGTATGGTATCTTTTATGTCAAACCTTCACCTCAAATTCAGTATTTGCATATAAAAGTGTGCTGCTTGAAGAAAAAAAAGAAGTTTTGACTTTCCTTGAATTTGTAGTCTAGCACTAAAATATGGCTGTATACTCGTTTTCCTCAGCTTGCAGAATCATGTTTGGTAGCATAACTCTGGTACTTCCCGTTTTTTCAGAGGTATGGTGTCCTACTGTTAAGGCATCGCTAGATGTCACCATTTCCTTGGACAACAGAACACATTAACCTCTCTGCAACTGTGCCTGCCTTCAGCTACTGTGCCTGGGAACCGTGAGCTTGGCAGGACCCAGAGTATTTCAAACCACACTAAAACCACCACTGCAAACAGAATGGATTTAATACTCTGTAGGGTGCAAAATGTTTCTAACAGAAGATGTTGTACATATATATACGGTACCGGCCACTGCTGCCCATAAATAAAGATCTGGCTGCGGGCGATGTCCACTCTGTTCCAGGCTAGCGCTAGGCTCAGCTGGTCGGGAGCAGATGCATTCGCTCCTGTGCACACAGACAGGGGAGCAGGAGCAGAGCAGGAGAAAAAAGAAACAAGACATTAGGCTCAGTATGCCCTGGTAACTCCTCTTTGTGAAGTCTCACAGATGTCCATGTGATTTCTGCAACTGATCTCATATTAAAACAAAACCAAACCTTCCATTGCACCTGTAAAAAAAAAAAAAAAAAATCCATTTTCAAATCTGCATCTCTAGTTCTCAGATTGCCTTACATACATTAAATGTTTCCTCATATTTCCCTTCAAAACACTGCAGATACAGGTGATATCAGAAGAGGCAATTTTTGGTTTCCCTCCTACTGAATGTGAAGCAAGAGAGCAAGCCAGGATACAGATGGAACTGCAGGAATACACACAGCCCCACATGTATCACATGAACGTGCACACACACACACACACACACACACACACATACACACAAACATACGTGCCTCTCGCAATTACAAGGAGATTCAACTCATACAGACACCACTGATTTCAGCAGTTCTGAATTTTTTTGGCATCTTACACATTCCATCTGGATAAGAGGCATAGGAGTTTCTCCACTATTTGTACTGAGGGATCCTGGTGGGACAAATTTCCCTTCACATATGAAATATCCATGTAAGTAGGCATTCTGTAAAGCTTGTGTCAAGGTATAATATATCCAAATTAAATGAGAAACTATGCAGATGATCAGATGGATTTGGAGCTCTTTGTATTTGGAAGGGAGGGTATGATTTTCCCTGCAGTTTTAATGGACACTGTGGGACATTCCTGTCCTGCTGTGCTTTTTTATTTCACAGTTCTCAGCTAATTTGTAATAATAAAACAGCATTTGTGCTTCAATGTCAAAGGGAGAACTGGCCTGAATGAACTGATCAACCAAATAAATAAAAGGCTCTTTGACTTTTAACTACATATCTGCTTGCAGTGGTTAGGTGATTATATAAGGGCTTATTTTCTAAAGACTTCATACCTCTACTGTTATTTTGTGTTTATTAATTCTTATACTGATATCATGGAGTGAGCAGAAATAAAAGCTTTTCATTACTTCAAAGCATTTGTGTCCCCATTTCAGTACTATTCAAACCCACACACTGTTCCAGTTGAAAGTGGACTCTGAAATTGGAGGCAATGAAAACATAAAATTGGCTGCTGAAATTCTCTGTGAAGACCTTAATAAAAAACTTTGTGGAGCTTAGCCTATAATTTAATTTCATAACGCTGAACTTTGAGGTCAGTTTACTGCTGATATAGCCAATTCCTTGTCAATGTCTACAGTAGTTGTTTGGGAGATGGTGAATTGTGAATCATCCAAATCCCATTCATACAGAAATGAGCTCTGATAAAAAGGTAGACAATGCAGGAACAGAATAGAATTGAAACAAATGAAGAAGGTAAAAAAAAGCAAAAATACTTCTGTGACTTCTGTGGCTAAGATGTATCAGGAATGCCCCTTTTCATAAGACACAACTTCTCATTCTATGTACTGCAACATAGACAAGAGCTCTCACAAGAGACCTCAGGGGGGATGCCAAAAACATCTGAAACTTTTGGAGTTTCTTACACAAGCAATATGCAGCATTCAAGAACAGAAAATATTTACCTTTGGGAAAGGCAAAAATGTCCCTACATTTCAACATCCCAAGATTTATTTATAAAAACAGAAAAAAAATACCTGCAGTGAGTATGATAGTGTAAGTTAAACACAGAGAGCAAATAATGTTCTCCCCCCTTCTGAAGCAAACAAGAGATGTTCTCATCAGATCTCCTCCTTCCCAATCATGTGCCTGTAGAAGAAGTGAGAGCTTTAGCAGGTGATTAGTCAAGGTTTTTGGGGATCCATGGAGGAAACACATGGGTGAACTCTAAAACCTGGGGGCAGTGATGGTGATCCCACAGCCTGAAAACATTTCACACATGTGATGAGGGAGCTCCAGTTCCTGATTTTCCTACAACAGCCTATGATATGGGTAGCCAGAGGTGCCATCTAGTTAGAAATAATTTTGGATCAAGAGTGGATCAGATGGACTTGGGGAGGGAAGTGGGCTGTTTACACTGCCCCCACTTGAGGCAGATGTCAAGCTAAATCACCGAGGCTCCAGGTAAATAACCTCTGAGCCCTAGCAGGGAGTGCTCTCCAGCTTGTGGAAACTGACCCTAGCAGTCCTGGCCCTTTTCATGCTTTAGAAAAGATTCAGCTGGCAGATAAACAGAGGGTCTTCTGGTGCATTTGATCACAGGAAGGAGCGGCTGGCATCCATTCATCAAAATTGTTTTCTTTGAGCATGCTGATTGCTCCAAATACTGAGCAGAGGGTAAAGCAAGCTGTGGTCCAGCCTGTGTCCTTCCCATCTCCCTTCATTGTGCTTAAGGCTGCCAGCAGTGGCCAAGTTTTCCTGTTGGAGCATGTGCAGTCCCAGAGTTGATGCTCTTCTCAGTGCTTGCTGCCACGATGTTTGAGTTCATTGTCTCACAGAGCACTGCAGGCATCTGGCAGTAGAAGGAAATGTGTGGCTTCTCAAGGGGATGTTGTACTCCAGGTCTGAAGCAGCCTATCAGCTAGGGTGTAGATTATGGTCGTGCATCCTGGGGCTCTGGTGCATTTGGTTGGATGGGTGCTTCCACAGTACAGTTTCTTGCTGGAAAGCCCTTGTTTCCTTCTCCTCTTTCCTGTCTTCTCTGAGGGGTTTTCAGATGAATGTGGGACACACTGATTTTACTTAAGAGGAGAAGGAAAATCAAAGCTATAAATGTTTGTACAGAGCAGCATAAGGGCTGTGGATGCCTTTTAATTTATTTTATTCTAGGATAGAACTGATGGCCTTTGTCTCACATGAAAAAGGAAGTATTCAGGCTATTTTAGGTGGAATTCTACCCACGATTAAGAAGTATGAATGATTCCACTCATATAAGAAAAACTCCCCAAAAAAACCATGAGATGGCCTTCTTAAGATACAGTCTGCTTTCAATCATTTCCTTGACTGCGTTTAGTGCCATGGAATATGGACTTGAGTCAGCAGGAAGAATCCAAAATGTGACCTCTCTGGGGATGCCTGTTACTCATGAGTGTCATTGGGACATGCCCAAATCAAAGCCAAAGGATATTTGGGAAATAAATAAGGTAGAGTTAATAACCTATTGCATTGTATTATTTTAATTACCATATCATACTTATTGCATTAAATAATGTTTTGGGTAATATGACTAAGGTCTCTGTAATATTTACTCAGTATTCTGGTGTCTGGCTGATTCTAAGATATGTTCCTCAAAAGAATGTTTTGAGACTATGACAGCATCTGCAGTGTAACCCTTCCTTTCATCTGCTCCTAGAAGAAAAGTTGCAGTTGGGATGCAATACGTTGTTTTGGCAGTGTTTTATCTTGGTATAGATACCACTGGATATAGATAGACTGCTGGGACAGCTGTTAGTTCCTGTAGATGGTAATTTTATGTTCTTAGGCTGCCATCCAGCAGTGCTTGCATAGACTCTTTTGGTAAAAAGTCACATTGTCTACTCAATATTTTGGACTGAAAATGTAATAACTCCTTTATGATACAGCCAGGGACTATAAACTGAACGCTGTCTCCTCGGGGAGCCAGGGTACACATCAGACAATGAGCGCTGTGTACTTGCAGGATTACTGAAGAGCTTTTATATACTTATTATTACAGGCTTTTATGTTCTGGCTAAAGCTTACTGTGACCAACACAGACCCCTAAAGGATTCTCCTGGAACAGCCTATGATCTTGGTGCTGAGGTATCTGGAAAGATGAAATGACATGAAACATCTACCTAGACAGAAATGGTTGTGGGATATCCATTTCCACAGTGCACCTAAGCATGTCAGTCTCCTCTTTGAATCAACATCTAAAGAAAAGAACTAGATTAGGGAAAATGAAAAAACAAATTAACTTTTTGCTCTGTGTCTCTGCAGGTCCAGTGCTATGTCCTGTTTCAGCAGCTCTCTAGTGCAAAGGCTACCTTTCCATAGCATTTGCTACAGAACCATCCTGGCAATTAGGAAACCAATTGACAATATAAAAGCAGATAGCAAAACCAGCTACAAGTGCAGTAACCAGATAGCTGACCTAATTCTGAAACCTTTTTGTGTCTGTGATTTCATGATTGGCAGACTATCCTTGACCATCTGATACTACATGATGGCTATTCAGTGAGCATGAATCATGACTTACTCACAGGCTGGAAATTATGCAGAACTTCAGCTCTGCTGCAGCCTAGCATGGTTTATCCCAGCAGGTACACGGCAGTAATATCACTATATGCACACACCACTCAGCACTTCTCCCTTTCCCCGTGCTCACAGTAGCACTGGGGAGGCTTCTGGAGCACCATCTGAAACAGGGCTGGCACTAGTCTGCTCCAGACATTGCAACAGCTTCGTGAACTAGGATCTTTGAAGCCACTTCAAAACAAGTGTTTTTTTAGACCATCTCCATATGCTGTCTTTAACTTCCCTGTCGTATGCCTTCTGCTTCACTAGCAGCTGCAAAAGGACAAATTCCATTATGGTGTGAGTTCCAACTGCTCAAGTTAAGAGAGCACAAACAGTTAAACTGTATTGATAAACTTGCCTGCTATAAACTCATGCCTTTGGAAACTTACTTCCCACATTTGTGTCTCTCAACATTAAAAAAAAAAAAGAATTTGCAAACCATATGCTGTTGTGACATCCATGCAATGTAAATTGATAACCAGTTTGGATGCCATTCTGCAGTTTATTGAAGATCACTTCCAAGAAAGATAAATCTTGCTGACAAGATTAAACAAGAGACTTGTGAAAACAAACAAAGAAATAATATGTGGTGCTGAGTTTGGGGCTTGTGGAATGTGATGTACAGGGAAGCTCCTGAATTGGCAGTGTGTCTGGTGTGGGTTTAAAAAGAGATTAGCTCATCACAAACTTTATATAGCAAATAGGAAGTGATATTTTGTGTTTCCAAACCTCTGTCCCACTCCTCCATGACCAAATCACTCACGCAAGGGTGGGATGGTCATTAGCTGATATGCTCCTCTTGCACTACCAAAAGCTGCAATTTCCTCATCAAGAAGACTGAATGAAAAAAAGTTACTGGTAATCACTCACCAGTTTCATACATTGCTCTGCTCCTTTTTTTTACACAGTACTTGAGAGTAGGAAGAGATGAATTCTTAAATTTAAATTTATGAATGCCAAGATAAATCAGACTCAGTCTTCAAATCTCTTAATTTACTGATTACAATTATTATTTTTCTTTAATTTTAGAGACAATAAACTGTAGGAAGTAAATTTTCAATGCTGTGGAAACTCTACTGCCATGAAAATTTCAATGTCATGAAAATTCCAAAATAAAAAAAAACCCCTCCATTTATTTTACCTATTATAAAGAAATTACTTATTAAAAAGCAATAGATAAGTGGTTCAGGATTGCTACCCTAGACTTTGATGAAAAACCCAAGTATCCATCAGGCTAGTGCAGTATATTTTCAGAAAATCAGTATTTCTTTCCAGGTGGGCCAGAACACTTGTACAAAGACATGGTGTGAATAAGGACAACTGACTTGGCTGAGACAACAGGTCTCATCTTTGCACATATTGATAAACACCTTGTGATCAGGAGGCTTATGTGAACCAGAGGTGCCTGATGAATCTGATCTTCATTAAGTACCTTCATAATCAGAAAGTCCAGAGGACCAGGGAAGATGAGGTGTAAGTCTTAGTTCCTCTGGCTCTTTCTTGAGCAAGAAACAAATGTTTCTGCCACCAGCAGATTTTCAAATCAAGGTTCTCAGACAAGCATGAAAGGAGATGTCAAAAGTACTTACACAGATCCAGGCACCTCCTGAGCTAATAAAAGTTTCTTATGATGACTTGCACTCTTTAACACCAAGAGAAAAGGAAATTTTATTTTACTAAGAGGCCAACAGCACCAATTAAGTACTTGCAAAATGGATATTCCAGACCAGGAAGGACTGCTCATATACTGAGACGGCAACCACTAAAACAGTTCCTCATGTAAATACTGCAAAAGAGCATTTCAAATAGAAAACCATCCCTCAAAGGCATGTGACTTATTTACTTCAGCTTCCAAGAGTCAGTTTTCAGAAGACTCCAGGGATCTATGTTAAGATACAGATCTTGAAAACACATTTAGAAAAAGCGGAATCACAACTCTAAGACATTCTTTGCCTTATTAATAGAAAACAGGAGCAGTACTTTCAGGGATTGTCTTAAGAATAAATGTGAAGAGAATACCTTCACACTAAAGGTAATGAAGGATTCAGTTACATTTAAAATAAAAATGAAACCTACAATTATATTTCCAAGGGACAAAAGAGAAATTTGGCTATAGATGAAATTCTTGATTCTTGTTTTGAACTAATTTTTTAATTAATATAGACCAGGGTCTATCATGAACTGTAGCAATAGGAAATTTAAAGTCAACATTTTAAGAGCAGAAGTGTAACATGTAATGGCTTAGAAAGATGTAACAACCAGCCAGGTTTAAGATTAAAAGCCCAACCATCCCAATAGCTACACTCTTAAATCTACAAGTGGAGGCTGAAAGAAACCTCACACTACTTCCAGACTTTCTAGGGATGACTACAGGTAACATCTTACTTTGTCAATAGAGCCAGCTTTATCTAAATGGCTGTTTTAGCTACCAAGGTAATCTGAATTTGAGGAGTTCTTTGGCTTCTCATGAATACTGAGCTTCTCGAGTAACTGGTGTTGGGGGTCACCGCTGATATTTCTTGTGACACATCAGTGATTGTGGAGAACAAAAATTCAGAAAGGAAAAACAGTAGCTGTTTAAACATTAAAGAAAGAGCTGGGTTTGTATAAAGCAATTAGAGCAAGAAGCATACTTCAGTTTCACATTATAGATTTATCATCTTGATAGATATGTCAATAAATGCAGGTTTCAGGACACCAGAGACACAAAATGGATTGATATAGATTCACTCAACTCTGTTACCTTTTAGTAGTGCTGTCAGGATAGCTAAATCAATATCCTGGTGTCCTTCTGATCCCATTCGAAAAACTGTGATCTGCAATATTAATAGACAATACCATTATTGAAATGAGGGTAATTAAAAAAAAAGCAACTTAAATTAGGGAAGTATGATTTGAATCTTAAAATGTCCTGATGTCTATGAGATAATCTTACTTTATTTGCTTTATGAGAAGCTAATTAAATTGGATTAACACACAGTATATTTTGTGACATAAAATTTGGTAAGATAGAAATTGTATTAATCTTCATATGGAAAAAAAGCACTCAGTGAAACTTACAGGGTGAAACTAGAGATGAAGGAATGTTCCTGTATTAGAGTGACATTAGACTTAATGTTCTCAACAGATTGCAAGAAAGATTTAGGTGTCCTATGAGTGTCGACCTAATTGATAGCATATGGAATAGAATAAATATTTTCAAGTGATATTAGAAACCTATTCAACCTTGAGATTCTACACAGGAAAGCCTTTGATAAATAATCTAAGAATTATGCTTCTAATAGGTCTGGGAACATCTTCAGACATGTATGGTCAATGACCTATAGCTCTAAGTTACAGGCTCTGAGGTAGTGAGGTGAGATTCACAACCCATGAATTACAAGAATGAACGTGCAGCTGTTCCTTCTTGCCAGAGTCACTCTTGGTTAAGACTGCCCTGAAACATACAGAAGTGTAAATCCCCTTGCTCCTTTTGTTGCCATAGCAATATCTTTTTTTGAATCTCTGCTTCTTATCAAGCAACACAGATTGCAGCTTTTAGCTTGTGCCTTTCCTTTACTCATGAAAACTATGCCATCATTTTGATCTGAGCACTTGTCTGTTTTTTCTTTTGCTGGTATGGGCTGCCTCAATTCCTTTTTTTTTTAGAATAAGTGACACTTTTAATTAGGAATTACATAAGCATTTTTTATATTCATATTGAGCAACATCTGTTGTTTCTGTGTTCCTAGATTCCTACTCATACAGCACTGAACTGCAGCAGCATCTGATATTGAGCGAACGTCAGGGCACCAAGTACTGTCTACTGTCACAGGAGAAGGAGAGATACAAGGTCTGAAGGACAAGGCAAAACTTCAGTGATAAGCTCCAGTCTGACAGCTGAAAAGTGCTGTAGAGTGTATCCCAGGAAATCCAGCGCAGCCCTCCTTTAGCACCTATTCTGCCTTCATTTGATCCTAGAGTTTCAGAGGCTTTGGTAGCAGTGACAGTAGAACAGCATCTTAGAGGCTAAAAAACAAACTGGATAAAGGAATAGGAAACTAGCTTAGCTCAATTAGTCAATTGAGTTGGGAGATGTAAGACATTACTTGTGTTAGGCAATCTCCTCAGCTAAAGTACACTATTTCCAAGTTAGACTTGATTTGATCCTTCACAGTGCTCTTGATACAAAGCATAAATGATACTTTAATGAAGTGTTTTCTCTCTCTGGAATATGCAGATGTTTCTGGCAAACGACTTGATATCTATCCCCAGATCACAACTTCAGAATGGAATAGAATAGGACAGAATTGGAATAGGAATAGAATAGTAACAGAATAGATTATTTCAGTTGGAAAGGACCCTCAACAATGATCTAGTCCAACTGCCTGATGCAGAGCTGGCCAAAAGTTAAAGCATGGTACTAAGGGCATTGTCTAAATGACTCTTAAACACTGACAAGCATGAAACATGAACCACCTTTCTAGGACCCTGGATTTGATCCTGGGTTTGATCACATTCTTGTAAAAAAATGTTTCATTATAATTTTCCATTTTTTTTTTCTATTTCCACGATGTCTGGCAATGAAGCTTTCCTAGCAATGCAGGCACTCTGCCCACACGTAATGTGAATAGAAATACACATTTCTATGTATGTCTCATCTCAAAACACAGTCAGTACGTGAGCTGATGAGACCAGACCCTCTGCTCTACATGGTTATGATGGGCTTCCCTTGCCACAAATGACAAACTTGGAGCACGAAATGGCAAAATGTCCTTCTCTGTCTTCAGGCGTCAGGAGAAGCAGTCTGCACATTGGGGACTGAATAGAATGGATAACACAGCTTGGAGGAGGAACAAACAACATCTCAAGCTAAACACATGATTGATGAACTCCCAACTTAATAAAAAGTAATCATATAAATTGCAAGCGCTGAACAGCTTATCACCACAGGAAAATTAAAGAAAGTACTTTTCTGACATTGGACCACATATAACCTTAAACTTCCAATTTCTTGTTCAACCCTCTTCTCTGCATGCATCAGAAAAATAAACCCATTAGAAGAATGAAGTGTTGCTGTATTAAAAATAAAATGGAAATATGTAAATTAGTTACATCAGAATAAAAAGGCTGTTCTTCCACATCAACTATTGCTTTATTATTTTTTAAGAGGCCTAGCATAATTCAAGTAGCAAAACAGAGAAGACAAATAATTGGGGAAAAAAAAGATGGAAACTGAAAGATTGCTCAGACCTGACATTAGAATTATAATTTTGGGGTCATGTCTGATATTGAACTAGAATTTCATACAGAATCAAGGAAAAATATGATACTTCATACAGTCACATAATCATAGGATTTTTAGTTTGGAAAAGATGTCTAAGATCATCCAGTTAAACTGTTAACACAGCACTGTCAAGTCCACTGGTAAACCATGTGCTACATCAACTCATCTTTTAAATACCTCCAGTAATGGTGACTCAACCATTTTCCTGGTTTGACAAGCTTTTCAGTGAAGATTTGTTTCCTAATATCCAATCCAAACCTGCATCTCCCATCTGGGAGAAGAAACTGATCCCTGACTCACCACAACCAACTTTTAGGGAGTTCTAGAGAGTGATAAGGCTCCTTTGTGCCAGGCTAAACACCTTCAGCTCCCCCAGCTGGTCCTGATTAGATTTGTGTTCCAGACCCTTCCCCAGCTCTGCTGCCTTTGTCTGGACATGACTCAGCACCTCACATTATCACAGAAATACAGAATGTCCTGAGTTGGAAGGGATCCACAAGGATCATTGAGTCCAACTCCTGGCCCTGCACAGGATGCCCCAAGAGTCAACCCATGTACCTGAGGGTATTGTCCAAATGCTCCTTGAACTCTGTCAGGTTTAGTACTGGGACCCCTTTCCTGGGGAGCCTGTTCCAGTGCCCAAACACTCTCTCAGTGAAGAACTTTCTTCTAATATTCAGCCTGAACCTCCCCTAACACAACTCTGACCCAAAACCAAACACAGGGCTCGAGGTGAGGCCTCAGGGAGTGACTCTCACCTCAGGCTGAGCACAGGGGGACGGTCACTGCCCTGGTCCTACTGGCCACACTGCTGCTCATATAAGCCAGGATGCCACTGACCTTATTGGCCACCTAGGCAAACTGCTGGCTCATGTTCAGCTGGCTCTCAACCAAATGCTAACTTAATTTCAAAATGCTGTGTGTTTAGGACCTCAAAGACTCAGCTGGCACTGTGGATTTCTGTATTTTCTGCATTCACAGAGGCAGTAAACAAACATGTCCAGCCTCTTCTTATGGTTTAGATTTACTGTCATAATCCATAGCTGCTTGCTCTCTGTGGCAGAGGCACTCCTCCTGTTTAAGGCAACTGAACTTTTGTCCAGGCAGATACTCAGTAAGAAGGAATAACTGAGGGTAACCCTATTGTGTGAGGCTGTCAGTGAGAACACAGAACCAGCTCCAAATAAACACTCTGACTGGAGCCTGGGCTGAAAAGCAGAACATAGCAGAAAATCTGATAACACATCAACCACTTTACACTATAGATATCTGCAGACACAAGGCTGTTTCAGCTATCCATCCACAGCAGCTGGCTGGGTGGCATCCACCTCTCCTTCAGTATAGACACCTCTCACTGTTATTGCTTGACACTGAGAGATTTTTTACCTGGTGCCAGATATTGATGGGTTGATAAAAGACATTTTTCTGCAGGCATGGAAGGTTTAAAATACTTGTAGCAGCCTTTAATTTCTGTAGTCAGAGGCAAGAGGAAATGCAGACACGTCCTAAAGTACTTATGCAGAATTTGCATTTAGAAATGTCCAATATCTTTAGGTCTTAAAAAAACCCATCTGTTTTGCTGGAGACCTCTTGTTCTGGTGTCTTCTTTCCCCTGAGTTCACAGGTAACAATTTTAGGTTTCCAATGTGGTCAACTCCAAGAGTCATTAATGTATGCCACAACCTGCCAATGCAACTTACAAGTACATTGGTGGGTGAATCTCTGCAGAGAACTGATAAGGAACACACTGGGGACATTGGCTGGACCCTGTTAAAATGGGATACAGATGCTTCTGCACTACAAAACATGCTGTGCTAAAGGAAAATATCTCAGTCAGTAAGCTCTATTCCCAGCTACCTCTTTCTGGATGAGTGTCTTCCACCATGGTAGATGCCAAAATAACAGAAAATTAAAGCCTTAGAAACCCATTTAATAGCTCATTGCTAAGAAAAAGAAAAGCCTTTCTTCTTTCAGAGAAGAGACAGTGCCTAAGAGCACCTGTCTACTGCAGACCCTTTAAGCCTGTTGAGTTTTACCCTCTGGACAACTTTAGAAGAAAAAAATACAGAAGGAAGAACAACCTAGGAAGGTGTGCATATGGAATCCAGGACATTTCACTACAAAGTAATAAATCCCCTCTATTTAAAAGTAATATATGCCAAGGACTTGCTCACGTACCAAAAGGAAATCAGTAGGTAAGAGTTCCAGATTTAGTCAAACTACCACTAGACAGTCCTCTGTATTGCTGCGCAAAAGGGAAGATTAGTTTTAAAAGAAATTTTGTCTGTGCTGCTCTGTTTCACATTGTATCTATGAAAACATTTCCTATTTCTCATAGGAACATAATGAAAGAGTGTTAGAAAGTAGAACTACAATTTACCCTACCTTGCTGTTTCCATTTACCATTTATCCCACCCCTCCACACCCCACTATTCTTTTGAGCCAAAAACCAATTTACATCCAAAGAAGAAAAGAAACCCTAAAATCAAGTACTCCTTTTTTCCCATAGTGATTTGGGTCCAGATTATTACCTCTGTGTAGCTGGTATTT